GTACTGTATATGTACACAGCAGTACTTCTGAGATCAATTCAAAAGCAATTACCTACAGGTACTAGTACAAGTTTACCCCTAAGTTTAACTGGACATGCGGAAGACTAGAGTCAAGTTATAAAGATACAAACTAGGCACAGTATAGCCACTTTTTCAGTTATCCAGTTACATGTAACCTTTTTTTCAAACATAACGGGTAAGACCCTTGACTCTGTGCTGCACGCAACAAGGTTATGCAGGATTTCAATGGTCCCTAGGGGGTTAGGGGTTATTCTACGTACATGTATACCAACCATGCAACGCAATCTTTCCTGTTTGTAGTTCCATAATGTACAGTTTTATACGCATGGCTGAATTTCATTTCTTAAAATGACATTCAACAGCTCCTTTCCATGACTCTTTAATGCATGCACGCACTCACTCAAGATGATGAAGGGACAGAAGACACAGCCCCGCTGTCTTCAAATGTCATTTCATGCTAATTATTGGCAAGGTTTGGCGAGACAGGCCTCAGTGCATGCACCGTGGGCTGTCTCGTGCAGCAGTGCATAATGTAACATGGTGCTACCAGAACATTAACAGTTTGTTTTTCAAATCACAGCACAATATGGTTGCTTGAACTTGAAACACCAGCCTGTAGGACACGGTTTTTGAAAAAAAAGAGGGAGCTTTCTAAAATCATCGATCTCCTTCAGGGATGGGCCACCCTGTGTGCATGCTGTCTCTGACATGAAGCATGAACGAGTGATTTTACAACTTTCTGAGGTGTGTATGTACACGCCAATGGTTTTGAAAATTGTCACTCCATTTTTTGTCCTCTCCATTGTTCACCAGTGAGGACGATTTTGTGCGAAGATGGAACAACAGGGATTTCCAAGACTTACCAGTAGGCCTACATGCACATGTACTTCAACTGGCACAGTACTGAAAGTCCCAGTACAAAGTACAGTGTCTGTCGCAAATGTACACGTACATGTATGTGTCCAACTCAATCACAAACCTTGCCAGAAATTTTGTAAAATACAGGCAAGGTCAAGTATGCAAGCCTGCTACGCCAACTGTTTAGACAGTACTCGTACCCCTGATGGTACTGGTAGACACATGTCAATTTGCAAACTACATGTACATGTACATGTATGTGGATATGTATACATGTACATGTGTACCGTCAAGAAAATGGGCCAATGACTAAAACCATAGACTTAAAGTGAGGAAGTACATGAACCGTACCTTTTCTAAACTCACGCCAAGCAGTCTAAGAGTGGTCCAAGCAAGTTGACAGTAGATCCAACCTTACTTTAAAATGCAATTCCGATTACTGTTGGAGATACTAGGACTACCGGTATGTACATGTAGTCACAGCTGCAGTTTCCAAAGACGAATGACACAAGTTGATAAAATGCTTGCAACAGTATGGAAGGAAAGCAGACAAAAACTGTGCCTACTGTAAGTACAATGTACACATGTACATGTACCTCCATGTACATGTGTCAGCAAACGTACACTATTCATCTGAAACATGTCAAAGTCCACTGCGACTGAACTTAGTTTCCATGAAAAAGACTCCACTAACATGCGAAATGCTGTCACCTGCAAGGCTGCGCACGTGCCAACGGGCATGCACCGGTAGGGTACATGTTTATAAATTCGTAATCACTCAACAATTTTTGGTAGGTTAATTTGTCACATTTGTCAACAAGTGACACACCATTCAAATGAGCAGTTTAAAAATAGCATCGAAACAAACAATGCACACACCATTATTCAGTGGATAAATAGAACTTTTCGCTCCAAGAATTTGAAATACCTCCAAGAATTTGAAATACCGGGATATATCAAACTATCAAAGTGTGTTTTATTTTCAGGCTTAGTGTACACACTGTTATCAGTAAATGTGAGTCAAACAGCTTTCTTATTTCACTTGGAGATAACCCGACTGGATTCAAAACAAAACCAATCTTTAGTCCTTCAGTTAGCGCCTTCTAGATTTTACTTTTTCATAAATTTTGAATAATTGCAGGTTCTGCAAAAGGCTGAAAGGTATGGTCATAAGTACATGTACATGGAAACAACTCGGGCCTCTTGTCATCAGTAGTTATTCTCTAACAGGTGCTTCTGAACTTGGATGATCACATGCAATCTGGCTAAATACTAATCGCCTACATGTACATGCAGGACCTTGCCCCATTTAGAGACAATCTCAGTCCTCCAAAATCCTCCATTATTTCTTTAATGTCCGCCTCCATCCTTTATAATTCCATAATTCCTCCATAACATTGAAAGAGATGCTATCCTGGAGCAGGTGGGATAATTCTACATACATGTGCGTGTAATCCAGGCATGAATTTATGCATGGCAGAGCATAAAGAACGCAGGGTTTGACCCTAAACCTTAACAACATGCATCCTCTGTTATCAGTCACCCTTTTTTGCCACTCAGCCCGTCCTTCAAAATCCTCCAAAACTGCCCTGAGGTAAAAAGGTTAGGGTTTAATGCTACAAGGAACACTTGGTACATAGACATGTACCAGGTACAATGTACATGTACATCAAGTTCAACTGTATAGTACAAACATGTACTGTACATGTACGTGTATTCAGCACAATCTTGACTCTTGCAGCAAATTTACAGAGTTGATAAATCCTACCAGTATTATGAATTTCATTCAAAGGCAAATCAAAATCAGAATGGAGTGCAAAATTCAAGACTGTGCTGAACATTTACGTACAGAGTACATGTACATTAAAGCTTGTTCTATTGCTTAGTGCAATTTGCTTCATACTTTGTCAGTGATGTTATTCATAATGTTATTGAAAATCTAAACCTATAGACGGCTGTGCTCCAGCATTTGAAATAAAAACCGGGCAACAATTTACAAAAGGGGAGGGAAATCAAACTGAGTATGACCTGGTCATGCAAGCAGGAAATTTTGTAAAGATAAGTTCCATCTTTATCGTTACTAAAAATGAAAAAGGGGGAAAGAAGACGGTCTCCCTGAAAAAAAGTTTTAAAAATAAAAGCAAATCCATACACTGACATCACAAATTGTTCACCTCAAGGTTGCAGTTACAAATCTGCCATCAGAAAGTGATAAAAATGTCCTGAAAAGTCAAATTTAGCAATGACAATTTTGAGATAGGGTAAAACAAGTCTGGAGCGCTTACTGAAACACGGCTGCAGCTTACATGAGAGAAATGAAATCTTAAAATGCAATCATTCAATTATAAATTATTACTGAAACACTTGCAAATGTCTAATTGCAAATCACTGGAACTGCATGTAAGGAAAATAAGCATACAAATACATGCATACCTGAAGCTGACTTAATGCAACATGCTTGAATAATAAAATATCTATGCAACAAATGGAAAAAGTCAACAAACAGGAACAAAACATGAATAAATCTGACAGTAATCACAGAGGAGTTTCCAGAGAAGTTCATGTAGGCCTAATGGAAAGAATTCTATCTGAGGGACATCACTTGACACCCTGGGACAATCCTACCCCATGACTGTGGGGTTTGTCGTCTGCCGTGCTATAGATGTGCGGTGGATGACAAACCCCACAGTTTTGTACTTGTACTAGTTGTAGGCTCAACCTACCCCCAGAACCGTGGGGTTCGACGTCCACCCCACTCCCACGAATGTGAGCGGGGCAGACGTCAGACCCCACAGTTCTGGGGAGGGGGCGGACATCAGACCCCACAGTTCTGGGGGTAGGCTCAACCCACTAATGTCCGACATGCCTGAGACAGGTCTGGTATGCCTGAAAAATAAAAATATCTGAAAAGAATGGAGTGATTGCAGAATACCCCACCACTCTATAAAACGACCCCTGGAATGACTCGTTACATAGGTACAAGGTGAAAATCCCTTGAGGAGAGTGTGACACTTTGACCTGTACGTGGCTAGGAGGTTGATCGTGCGGGATACGGGTGGCAAGGTATTCTGCAATTGAGCTAAAATGATTTTGTAACCTGTCTATAATGCTTCAACATTATTCCTCCTACATTTGACTTCTTGGGACAAGACGATGGCTTATACATCACTGGCAAAAGAGCACTGCAGCCGTGTAAGGGATTTGTGATGTCTGCCTATGGAACTCTTTCCAACATCCAGACCAACGTGAAAATGAACATAATGACGGAACCTACGTAGCGAGGCCAAAAGGAAAAGCACCCTCAGATCAAAATTCTAATTGAAACGAGGAGAATGGAAGATTTGCCAACTTTAAAAATTAATTTCACACTCAAAAACATACTTACATCATAGACTAGAGTCAGCAGTCAGGCCAAACTCCCCCCCCCGGTATGTTTATACATTACATTGTGCATTAACTTACCTACCTAACCTAGTTGACAGGACCCGGCCGGGCGAACGAACTGTTTCACTAGTTCAATAGTTGAACCAGTACATGTAGTTGATGGGTGTCGGCGACAGAAGCATGACGCGGTGTGAAGGCAAGGTAAACCGCGCCTCACTCATCAACAAACGCCGTGAGCTGGAAGATGTAACACGACACTGAGACTCGTCACAGATCCAACGTGAGAGAGGCTGAGTCACATTCGAAATTCGATGTTTCTCAAGTCTGATACGGCACAAACCTTTTCAAAACTTGTTCACAGCTGTCTTTGGAAGCATACTTTGTTGTTGTGATTTCTAGTTTGATGTACAAAAACATTATTTTTAAAGCACTCTGAAAACGAGATGTCGAGACACGTACAACCGTACCGCCGGTAAATTTTCCACGCATGAAATTATACCGATTACTTGTAACTGTTTCATGTTTCAAAAAATCACTTTACAGCAGAGCTCCACGAAAGATGAAGTTCAGACATCAATCTCAAAATTATTTCGCTAGACATAGAAATGACACAGACTAATTTTAAGTTCTGTGACAAACTGTGATTAATATCATAGATTGAACCATTCTATCAGAATTAATGTGAATAAAGCAGCCGTCTGATACGATGCCCTAAATTAATTACAGCGCCCTCTCTGGTCTTTTCGAGCCACTGTAATGTCGTGAGCCCGCGCGGAGAGGTCACCGATGTCCTGAAGTTCACTTGAAAAAAGAATGTCACGGTTTCTAAGGTTGGTTTTTAATAAGTGTGCACAACATTCATGACATTAGTGCTCTTAAAAGACTTTAGCTGTAGGTTTACAAAGGGCAAAGTAGTGTGAAATGAATTGTCACTTGAATCAAAAAAGGAAATGCATTTTGCTTGCACAAGAACCTCCAATTTTTGCAATGTATATATTACAGTAATGATGTATGCTACGGCGCCCTCAACGCGGTAACAACTTAACAAGCGTTGTGGTTATTGGTATGTAAATTCCATCACTGCCCCGCCTCCTTTATCCTGCCTTTAAAGTTTAATTAAGAGATGAAAGTAGTTTAGACATATTAGAGTGTTTTTTCATATTTGTTTTTAACTCTGCAAATCTGTAAAAGTTATCTTAGCAGCCCATTTCGATTATTCATACTACACCTGCATACTGTTCCTGCCATGTCTGGTCAGCTGTAGGACATGCAGGAACAGACAGTGTAATAAGTCGATTCCAGGCAGCCTGTTCTTGGCACAGGTTTCTTGTTTTCACACTCAAACGATGGGAACTCGACTCAAGAACACTGTTCTCGGAACAGGATCACACACCACCTCAGCGTTAGGGTTTTACAGGAACACATGGAAAAACCCGTGAGATTTTGATTTTTGAACGTTTGCAAAAAGTACAAAGATGGCTTACAAAGCCAGAGACAGTGGATAGTTTTGAAAAATTAACATTATTTGCTCAGAACACAGAAATGAATGTTTCTGTTGAAATGGAAAAGAATTCAACTCAGTTATCCAAACATTAACTCTCGAAGAATGTACACAGACGCTGAAATGTTGCTTGCCACTAACTACCAGCAATAACCGGTTGTTTGTTCCTAGCATTCGAGCGGCCGACTCACAAACAACAAATCGATCTGTTTGTGAACATACGAGAACAAGCCGCCGGAACTCGGCCTTAGTGGTTTTGCAGAATACCTGTAGATACGTTTACAGAACACTGTGAGAATGTGGTAAGGGACGTGGTGATATTTATCACCTATTGGAACCAAATGCCAGTTGGACTCCCAAGGCTTACCAAGCTTCCAACTGTAACTAGGGGACGACAGACCTCCACCCTGAAACTTCATCAGATATACCAACGTACCAACATGCATAGTTGGTTCCACTTTTATGGAAATTTGGTACCAAATATTCAGTCAAGTGGAAGGTTGAATATTCAACTGTTCAATTGTTGGAGTTGATCTGGGCCGTGTTTTCTGTCAATTCCCATGCCAGGTACCCCCCGTATGTCCCGGGCAATCCACAACGACGGGTGTTCTTCACAGATTTCTACATGAAGCTGTTGAGTCCAGACAAAGAGAGACCAGCCAATGTTGTCACTTTTGAATGCCCCGTCAAGTGAGTGAATGTGGAGGAAACACTTGTCTTCCCCTTGTAGTTTGTGTTTCTTGTATACGTGCTTTCTTTGTGTTTTCAAAGTGTCGTTGGGCAGGTTCGAGCGACGATTTATCAAACACAGGTTATTTGCCCTGGTAAACTGTGCACAGAATGCATCCAGGGTACCAGGCACAATTGACTGGTGGTTGGCAAGTGGTTCCTGCTCCATTTTGCCATGGTGTACCTGTTTGTATGTGCAGTGGAATGTCGCTATACCGAACACCGCTATACCGAACATTCGGCTGTACCGAACATCGTCCTTGGCTCCCAATAATTTGTGTACAGAACCTACCAAACACTATGCAGTTGCTGTTTGTAATTCCCGAACGTCAACAGGATAAAACAGTCGGCGTTTTTTTATGTTGGAAAGTGACAAGTGGCATTTATTTCCCCAAGGATTAGATGGGAAAGCCACTAGCTATCAACAGTATTGAATAGACGCTGGTTTTGCGACTCCACATGATCGGGTGCGGAAGAAAACCGCACGTACTCGCATGGTGGCATTGCACTAACAATAGTCTAAAGAGGGCGCCGCTGATACACAAATCAACCGAGATTCGCCACAGCATGCATCAGAGATCGATCCTGAGTGGTAGTTTCACAGCTTTTAGGATAAACTTGATATCAATTTTTTTACTCAAGTTTAAATAAGAAACAAACATAATTGACAGATACACTTCTAGAAACCTTCAACTTGAATGCAACGGCAAAACTTCACGAAAACAGGGAAGCAAGGTATCGCAAGAGGGTGCACTTCGGTTAGACAAGAGAGGGCGCTATTCAACATGGCAATGAAACATTCGGCAGTTAAATTCGCTATGCCGAATGACCGCTGTACCGAACATTTAGCGTGGACCCCGTCTTGTTCGTTATAGCGGCGTTCCTCTGTACATGTATTGAGTGGGCAATGGTATTGACTTACTATGCTGGTTGTGCCGGTGCTATGTTGAATTTTATCAACTTGCAGGGTTAAATTTGGGCAATGTGGCTTCTCTTTCTCCAGCATGACAAAATTTGACATCAGAAACTACTTGGAGAGGATCTACAATGTCCCCGTTGCCAAGGTGAACACACACATAGTCTACGTGGCATTCAAACGCGACCACAAAAACATGAGATACAAACCCAAGGATGACTTCAAATTAGCGAATGTTACACTGGTAAGTGGAAGCATATTGGGATATAAAGAGCAAGTATGATAACTACCCTCTGTCATTTGGAAACAAATGGACTGTACAGTTTCCAGATGCAAGTCTTAATCAGGAACCTACTGTCTGTGATACGCTGCTCATATGTTTGGGAGATGGTTCTGGACACAGACTGGTTTCAGAATGACAATAAAAGGACAGAGTTTTTGAAAAGTTAAAAAACAACTCCATTCTCAAGTTGGTTAGTTTCAAGTCCTGGTAAGCTTTTCTTTCTGAATAAATCACAGGTGGTTCTTAAGTTTCAGCACTTTCCTGAAGTTTTGATCGATGTAAAAGCAAGACTTTAAATATTACAGTATATTTATTACAGTTTAATATTTACAGTTCACCGAATCAGATTTCATAACTGATTTCACAAAGCATTGTTCTTGAAACTCTTCATGTCAATGACATGGTAAAGTAACTTTGTTTTCTCTGTTCTTACAGGCAAAGGGCCAAACCTTCCAGTTCCCGGAGAACCTTTTTGTGAAAACTGATGAGCAAACGACAGATGAAGAACTGATTGAGGAGGCCAAAGCCAAACAGAAAGCCAGGGAGGATTTGCTAAAGAAGCGAGGGGGCTTACCGACTTGGTTTGGCATATGAGATCAACCATGCAGAGCTGCCATGTTGCTTGCGAGACGGGCTGTTTATTGCGACATTGGAAACTGGAAAGCAGAACTTGGATTGTGTCTTATTAATGTCTTCTCAGAATGAACAGGAGTGGAGGTCTTCTACAAGTATTTGTGCAGTCAACTTGTCACTGCTTCACAGGATGCTTGAAGTCCATCTTTCAATTATCAGGATGTACAGTCACTGTGTACTTCCAACACCCAACGATGGAAATTTTGGAGGAAAATGGAAGCCCTTTTCCCAGGTGCAAGAACACTTAGAATGCTTTTCATCCCTCAAGTTTGCTGTACGTGGAGTGTAACGAGGCATTTTATGAATAATCATCTTGAACCTTGTCTCATTTTGGTTTAGTCTTTCCCTCCTTTTGGTTTAACTTTCCCTACAAGTGGCATTTTTCAAATGGTTCCAATCTGCTACAGCTATATTCATGGATGGTTTTGAACATACGAGTACATGTCACAAATTGCAATTATGGGACTGGAGAAAAACCAGAATTTCCAAACTCGGCAATACCAGTAATGCCATAGATGAGGTTTTACACATGTGGGTAAAAATTGACTATTACCTATCAAATAGGTTTGATATTCAACATAAGTTCCATATTCTGTCTGATAATGAATATAGTTAGGTTCATAGAAACCCAAACTCAATGATGAAACTGTACTCCAGTGTTTGTTTGAGCTGTTTTTATTACAAACAGGTGTGCTCACAGACTGTACAAAACTATTCATTGCTTAAGAGGACAGTAGATGTTGGTTACACCTGACTCAATCCGGCTTTAAAAGAAACCGAAATGAGAAATTGGGACATTGATTTGAATATTTCCAGCAGTACCTTCCTGTGAACGGGGGGGGGGGGGGGTCTGTAGTTCAAAACTATTGTCTGGGGCTTGAGGCTCTCATGCAGTGAGTTGCCGTTGTTACAGCTGGCACTGGACTGTTCCATTGCTGATAAAGCCAAAATGGAGAATAAAATTCAAGAATGTAATCGGGAGAAGGGTTTCAACACACCATCTTTGAAGACGCGTAATCTTACATTTGAAGCAAGATATGGGATGAAGAGACCCCCCCGCCTTGTGTTGGTCATTGTTTGATCGGAATCTCAGGAATTCTTTACAGACTTCTGGGGGGATGTGTTAGGTAACAGTAGTCTAGAGTGCGTATAGGGATTAGACAGGTAAGGGGGGTACCCCTCCGTCCCATATCTTGCCTGGTATATAGCCTTTATTTGGCCTCCAAAAGGTGCCAGTTTTCACATGTATGCAAATACATGTGTAACAACGGCAACTCACTGCATGAGAGCCTCAAGCCCCAGACAATAGTTTTGAACTACAGACCCCCCCATTCACAAACCAAATCTTTGTGTCCTACTGCAACACTGTGGTCGAGTTCGGGCGGCCTGTTCTTGACACGGGTTTCTTGTTCTCGCGCTCGAAAGGCGGGATCATGACCCGAGAACACTGTTCCCGGAACAGGATCACACACCACCTCCTTGTCAGGGTTTTGTAGGAACACACGGAAAAAGTCGTGAGATTTTGATTTTTGAACAGCAACCGTGGCAAAAAGTACAGCGACGGCTTTCAAAGCCAGAGACGATAGGAAATTTTGCAAAAGTGACTATTATTTTCTGTAACAGAAATAAATGTTCCTGTTTAAACAGAAAAGAATTCAGCCCAGTTATCCAAATATTTACTCTCAAATAACATACATGGACACCATCATGTTGCATGTTTCTTGTCACTAACTACCTGCGATAACCGGTGGTATGTTCCCGGCGTTCGAGCAGCTGACCCAAGAAGAGCGAATCAAGCCGTTCGTGAACATACGAAAACAAGCCGCCTGAACTCAGCCTGTATGGCACACCAGGGGAAGGGAGATCCATATGTCAGAGTCATGTGTGGGGTTTTGACAAACACGGCAATACGTTTCATGCTTCAGTGATCCAAACATGGATTTTTCTGTCGCCCCCAACAGCACAGACAGGCAGAAACGCATGCCATGATAGGCCGCCGAGAACTGGTACCTCGCTGCTGACCGGTACCTGGGAACAGCAACACAGGGAAAAGATTAACTGAAAATATCATGATATAGATGGGAAAAATTTGAAAAATGTCAAAAGTGGGTGGCTTTGACTTGTCAATGACGTACCTGGTGGTGGCCCATGTGGAAGACTTTGACCTGGTTTCCAGGTCGACCAGTTGTGGCAAAAATGTTTTCACTGACACGCGACCAGCGAAATTGCTGAGTACCCTCAGTGTGGGCTTGCTGGTTGTCTTCAGGGCGACTGAAATATACAGAAGGAAGAATTCTTGATGAGCAAAACTCGTGTCGTGCAAATGCCTGTTATCAGTCCAGGAATTCTTCAGTTTTCAAGGAATCAAACTGTGCACTGGAAAACTTCACTCACCCAATATGAGGGCATCAAGCGTGATCGTTTCTTTGAGCTACTGTTGTGCAGTTTCGGGCGTGATCCTGCATTTTGAACGGGGCCCATGCGAATGCACCTAAACCTACACAGACACTGCACTGCATCTAAAAACCAGCTGCACTACAACGACACCTTCCAACTGTTTCCCGTTGCACTTTTGTCAAGGTGGCTACCTGACCAAAACGATGTGGTGTCAGGCAATTGTCAGGTCAGGGAACTAGACAAAGCTAGTTGTTACTCTGCTTTCAAGGAACAATTTCATTGCTTAGCAAATTTTGGACTAGGAAAATCAAGCTCAGAATCAGTCTCAAGTCTACCCTTTGCATAGTACAAAACGTAGTTTGGCTAATAAATGGTTTTTGCTAAGCGTATATTTTCAGTGGTTAGCCCGTTTTTGTGCTTAGTGGCTGTAAGGAATAGAATCTGCCGGCAGGTTATATTGTGGATCACATTATATCTGCACCAACCTCGACCTGGTTATGTCCCAAACCATCCACTCTCCCTCTACAGCAGCCCCGACCCTGGTTGGATCACAGACACACCAATCAGCTGACCTCAGCATCACATGACCCGCATCCAGGGACATGATTGGTTGCTGATTCAGGAGGTCATAGAAGCGAATTGTACCGCGCTTCTCAGCAACCATCAGCTGTGCGTGGAGACAAAGAGAAAACATCTTGACCAGTTGGTTGATCGCACTTCACAATTTACAGAAACTAACCAAAGGATTCACTGTTGCAGTGAAGACCATTACTTGACTAGTGACAGGACAAGTCACAAGGCCAGATCACAAGGCCAGTCACATGACCCATCACAATGCCAGTCATAAGTAACAGGGCGAACAACAGCAAAAGAAAGCTTTTGTTGCAGTTTACATGTATTTGAATGGCTTTTGCTTGTAATTCAACCTGGAGATCTTGTGTTGGCCTTGTGATAGTCTTACAAGGTCTTGACTACACCACAAAAAAAATTGCACAAACTTCTCTAAATCATTGCATTCCCTGTATAGACAGAGTAACACAGGAAAAACAGCTGACTGATGCAGATAATCAAAAGTTAGTAATTAACTTTATCACAGATCAATACAAATCAATACCTTCATGGGATCTTGGCTGTTCCAACAGGCAGACATACCAGCTGCCTTCAGTGAGAAGCAAGCTCTCTGTACACCATCTATGCCCCAGACACGGCACGTGTGATCGTCGCTGACGCTAGCAATAAGTTGGCCTTCCGTGGGTTCAAAGGCTAGTGCGTTGACAAAGTCCAGATGGCCGTCCATCAACTGCAACAAATTATGGCAATCAGGAAAAACTTCAGCTCACAAAATAGCCTACGCTTTATAAACCTGGAACTTGCAACCTGTATCAAGGCACAGATCAATCAATAATTTGAGGATAAAATTAGTTTTAGAATTTCAATTTTATCTCACAAATTTTTGAGTATTTTTGAATTTTGCCACTGGATATGCAATCTACTGTTGGAATGACTTACATGCATACATTTTTTAGGGTAATCTCTTACACTAAGCAATATTTCCTATTTAATTTTTCTAATCCGTTTGTTTCATCCGCGTTACTACTTGTCAGTTTCCACGACAGACATGCAAAGGGCACAACAAAGTTCTCTTGTCCTCAGTAGTCGGTCCTCTGTTCCAACAAGTCCTCTGTAGTGACTTAGGCATGCGCCTCTGCGGAGTCTTATACATAGTGTAGTGAAATAGAGAGGTTACTGGGCCCCCTTTAGTGTTGGTTTTTACATCCCATAATTGTTCCGCATAAATTATGCTTATGAGTCTTGTGGCCCGATGTCTTCGCATGATTGAAAGCACTGTAAAGAATCACATACAGGCGACTCGGCGTCTCTGAAGAAGATCATCTGGCGGGTAGATTGACAGTGCTATCAGTTTCATTGGCAACGTCCGTCCGTTAAGGTGAAGCAAGACCTGGTCAGCTTCAGTTGAGCATCCCCACCACTTTAAATTATCAGCTCTTTAATTGTTTAATTAATTGCCAGTGTTTCGAGTGATTGCTTACTGACCGGTTGTAAATCATAAATTACAAATGCTGAATCACCTACATAGGATCCCCCAGAACAGGGGACCACTTTGACTAATGAATAAACGGGACTAATCAGAGGAATCCGGCAGGTGTCATCGGTGCACTTGGTGGAGAGTTTCCCCCAGAGGGCCGAACCTACAGGTTGAAGCCCCATTGCCAATCTGCCTAGTAGCGACACTCTAGTGACCAGATAGCTTTGGCGCCAGGCAGTAGACCGCCTCCAAAAGGACCTAACCCCCTTGTTGCCTCTTCAGCCACTCATCGGGTCGGCCAAGGGCAAGCATGAGGCTCGGTCGACGGAGGCCCACACAACAGGAAAATTGAAAGCACAATGACTAGTCCCTCCGTCTTTGGTACAGTCAAACATTTCTGACTTAACAACCTGTGCAATACATGCACATGTGTTATGATGTATTCTAGGGGACTATATTTCTATGTAAATATGTAGATATAACGTATACAATATACTACATGTTAACATACATGTATGTAATATAGATACCAATACACATGTGTGTACTTATATACACCTATCTGTATAACTTATTGCATTGAAACCTGACAAAGTCTTGTTAGCTTCTGGTAACCCACCTCCATCTTATCTTGCTCCTTCATGTCAGAGGTGTAAAGTCGGATCTTGTTGTCTGCGCCGGCTGTGCAAAACCTGTACACACAGTCAGAACGTGGCTTCCTAAGTCAAAGTCTAATTCCTGAGTTCTTGAATGATTAAGGGTGAGGATGTGGAGATTGGTATTAAATAAAAGCCACATGTATACCCGCAAAGAGAGTCAGGCTGTAACTTGTGACTGATCCTGTAAATAAACACATTGTGAATGGTCTTCGAACACTGATGCAGTTCGGGCGAAATTTCAGGGGGGGGGGTTGAACAGTTTAGGCACCACTGACCATACAAGGCGGCATAAACCTACATGTAAATGTGCCATCCCTCCCCCGAGTTATTCCGATGCTTGAGAAAAGAAAAAAATGCATTATGGACTTATTACTGCAACACTGAATGAACCTGAAACAATAAATCTCAAGACTCGACAAGCGTCAGCAAGACTCAAGTAGTTGAAAGCACTCATATGTACTCAAACTTCATTATTACCCATTCACACTTTCGTCCTCAAAATTGAGCCAAACAAGTTCCCTAAGAGTTGTACAATCCTGACATACCTCACACATCGTGGGAGTACTTCAAGGGATGTCTCTGGGCTCCAACTGATAGCAACAACTTGAGTGTCATGATGAAAGTCTCGGAGATGCTGGTAGTCAAAGCCGGCAACTGTCTTATCTTCTTCCTGAAGTGAAGGGACAATGGCCAAGTTAGGTGACTGCTTAAATGCTGTTAGTTAACTCAAATTACGTAGCCAACTGATTAGTTGAACACGTCTTAGTTCTGCAGATTGCATAATTCGGGTTTTATCTTGAACTTGGCCTATAGGCCACAGAAATTACTGAACTTCATCTGTTGAGCATGTTCAGCCAAAATCCTAAGTGGCCGAGACGGTCACGCTACCATGTACGATACAGTTGACTTCGCATGGAGAACGAGAGATTGGTGAGTAAAAAGTCTGAATTTTTTTTCAAAAAAATCTGTCACCATGATTCAGAAAACTTTGAGAGCTATACATACATGTAGGCCTTGGTACCTCACGAGAGTCATAACAGCTCTCATCACGTCTCATGGGAAAATTTGATTTCCTTCCTCCATGACTTGATTGAGAGTGGAATTTGTCAAGTTTGTGTGACAAGTCATGCAAAAGTACCCCAGTTCTAGGGGTAATGCAAACGATCAACCTCAGTCTCAGGCTGGATTCAATCTGAATCTGAGTCATGTAGTCAGCAAAGCCTCTATCAGGAAACATCACACCAACTTGGGGTTTAGTTTAGGCATGTTAGGGTGTGGAGCTAGACACGTCTTCGGTAGCTTACTTACGTGACTTACAAGAACTGAACAATGTAAAAGTTCAGCTCTAAGAGTTGCATGTGATGTTTATTCAACAATAAAAAAGAAAATAGATATAGATAGCATTACCTGGAATCTGACAGATCCGATGCTGATCCTCAACTGACTGCCGAATGCGATTAGCTGCGATGCTGACTCAAATGGGCAAAATTCAATGCATGTCACTACGTCTTTGCAAGGAAGGTCAAACGAATTTCCTTTCACATTTTCAACCATCTTGATTTCCCCCCAGGCATTCACAAAATTAGCACAAAGTGGAGCTAAATAAACAAAATACTTGGTTAGTAATTTTTCATTATTTGTATGTGATCAGTACTTATGATTCGATGTAAACAAGGTGGTTTGTTTGCAACTCCGTGGAGCGCGCCATATTACATGTATTAGATTTCGCCAAAATGTCAACAGATGGCGCTACACAACTTTCGCAGTAGTGTGTTGCGTTCATAAGTACACTGCCCCCAGGCGGAGGCGCTTAAAAAGTACCCGTACAAATTCTTCCGAAAGGAGGAGTCTGTGTGGGCCAAGAAATTGTGGAATTGTGTGTATATATAGCCCAGGATCATCTCTGTATATTAAAGGGCTTCCATCTGGGGGCAAAACAGACAAAACTGTACTTGAAAAAGTGTCAGAAGAGGCCGAAAAGATAATTAAAAAATTCATTGATTAACCTACTGAAAATTGAAAATCAAATGAAATCTGAAGTACCAAACAACACATTGTATTTGTTTGAGAGGCCTCAGGGACCTCAGTTGCCCGGAACGGGGCTCCAAACCTTGTTGATTTTACATTGTTTTCAATACAGCTTGAATTAATTCAATGCACCCATATGTTTGTGCGTGGTAAGGGCGCCTAAGGGTCGAGCGACTGTGGTTCGCTTTGGTTCGATCAACTTGCACCAACCCTCTATATCATTTCTGGGTTAGCCACCGTGACCCCCCTGGTTGAAAGGAATGAAAATTTGACTGGGGGAGCAGGGAGCAATTTGCACTCTTTACGGATGAAAAGGAATCAATTAAATGCTCTATCTACTTTTTCAATCACGAGCTGCTTTCAAAACACAAGAAAGTAGTGATTTCGAGCTACTTTTACTTCACACGGACAAATAAAGTACACTGTGCCTATCGAAGAATAACACGGGGCGCCATAACTCAACGCCAGAGGGGAGGATCTACAGTCATCAGCTACTTTCAAAGCAACAGCTTCCTCTGACCATGTCAGTTTTTTATCTTCATTTTGAGGGGACTGAGGATTCTTTTAATAAAAATTCTGTTAAAAAATGAGATGGCCATTTTTTTTAAATATATATATATTTTTCTTACAAATTTACGTACCTCATGTTGAATTGATTGTATCGATAAACTATTTTCATTTATTACATTCATCCCGGCATGCAAAACTTTTCAGAGAAAACCTCAAAACCTGGGCATACGGCACTATGCAGTTATTCTCCCGTGGTTTGAAGAAGTGTTCTTCAAGGTAAAAAATAATGTTGACACGGTTGACCAATAAATTGATCAATTTTCTGACTCAAATAATGGAGCAAGCCCATGGCCAACCACTTAAGTTCAACCGCCTTCTGTCTCAGTACAGTCGCGCTCGAACACTCTTTATGAGCCCAGACTTGGACCAAGAGAGGGCACGATTTTCATAGCAACGGGGGCTTCTTTGGGAGGAACCAGGAACTCCACTTCGCTGGCTCACCAACACCTATGAGATGCATGCTTTGCGTTCGCGTTGCAACCAAAGATCGCATCGTATAGCGCCGCGGATCTTTGGTCGCAACCAACAAAACAAAATTAACTCCCCACGAGCATGGCGCTTGTCAACCGATGAGGGGGTGTTACTTATCTCGCATAATCTGCGACCGCAAGAGGGCGCTATCACATTTAGTCCGTTAACTGGAAGTTTATTCATCATAGTACATGTACTTGGGGTTCTACTTTCAGTGGTAATCCCAAGAAAATAACTATAAAAAGAAACATATGCAACCTCACAGGATTAGTAATGAAAATGTACCTGTACATCTGATTCTGAAGAAAATCCTACGCCCAGGGCCCTCAGACTTTCGTTGATTAGAAACTTTTGTTACGTCACAGACGTACATTTGGCAACCAATGTTTACCAACTTGAACCCATGGCTGGCCGTCGTGAGAAAACTAAAAGAAAAGCTTGAGGCAAAAAGTGTCCCGAACAAAGAGCAAGGTTTGGCTGCGTATACAAAATGATGGTCGTCAATGTTGCAAGCAAAGGTCCACTGATATTTACCGAATATTCGCCAAAGATAATTCTGTGCCCTCGTGTTTTCAAAACGTCTCCCGTTTCATGGCTGAAAATTGATCACGACGAGGGTATTTTACAGAAGCATAGTTCATAATTCATTTGAAATTTTTTTCAAAACATATGTCGATATGCTCCTGCAAGACGTAATTGGCAATAGCTGTATTTTTTAAACCTGAAATGAAATGTTATACGATTGCCAAATGCTCTTCGATATTATAAATGATATTTTGCTTCACAGTTTATTTTACAATACCCCTTCATTTTTTCAGCCGTTGATATAATTTTTGTCTTCCACTAGACACATAACAAAATCAAATCCTTTTTTTCCTCAAGCCGAGTGCACTTTAAAGTTTCAGAAGGGGATTACGCCATGCATGAAAGATCCCTTTTTAGTGGAAATTCATTAGTCAACCAACGTATTCCTAGATTCCAAATTGTCTTTTTTTCCCCTCTGGGTCACATTAAAAGAAAGTTTCAGATGACAACATTGAATGTTGAATGGAATGGTCTTTAATACCAGTGATACCGTCTGTGTTTGTAAAAATAAAATAAACTGTTATTTTGTAACTGTTATGGAAACGCCAACACAAATATTTGACAAATGAACTGGGTCAAGTAAGGTTGAGTCTAAACACATTACAATCAGTTAGTCTCCAAACTTGTTTAGTTCAAGTACATTTCAGTGTTATCAGGGATGAATGTTCTCAAAATTATATTAGATTGCATAGTTCAGATATTTAAACATTTTAAGTCCTACATTTTACTGGCAGATTGTGGTGCACAAACTTGGCGGGCACTTTACACAAAATTAATAAAGTTGTCGGTCAGCATGGGGCACTGTTTTCTTCAACACTGTCACCGCTACCGCTCGATGAAACACAAGGATAAATGAAACACCGTGCAAAGATTGATTTCGGTGAAACAGAGCAAAAATGGGAGAAACTTTTCCCTCATAAATTATATGTGGAGCAAAAATCATAACTGAAACATGCATATCCCTTGACGTTTGGGTTTCTGACGTGATTTGGCAAAAAGCAAAAGCACGCTTTTCCAGTGTTTTACTTAGTCCCAAAAGAGCCATATTTGTAGAATCCATCCCTAACTGTGGGGGGGGGGCTTCTACTGAAAACCTCACATTCCAAAACCTGGTCAGTTCTTTAATAAGGCCCATGCCTAACATTTTGCTAGCAAAATGATCACAGAATCCCGGAAAAACTTTAGATTCTTAACGCAAAGAAAACATGCATTGTGACGATGTCAGAAAAAATAAGAGCTGTTATCTCCACCCCTGCTCTCACAGGATAAAGGTTTGCCCATATGCAAAATACATTTCAACGATGAGATTAATTGATGAGTTGATGTACTTCGACACAAGCATGGATGGTCTCATCTTTAAGGTGGAGGCAATGGAGGTAGCTTGGATTTCGCCACCTTGGAACACAGACCGTCTAGTTTCTTGAGGACCGTATTCAGCGTCGGTCTGTGAGCCGGGTTGCGAATCATGCACGCCAAGCCGAGATGTCGCAAGCCATGCAGAGAACTCGAGTTGTAGGCTATGTCCTTGAACAGCTTGCCGAGGCTGTAGATGTCTGACTTGGTGGAGAACTGGGTCTTGCCTTCGACTATCTCGGGGGCAACCTGAGAGTCAAGAAGCAGAATAGATGCTACAGGAGGACCGAAGGCGAGGGCAGCCCAGTAGGAAACAGATGTGGGAAATTGCTAAGGAAATAGCATGGAGAGTTTTGGGCATTTTCAAGAAATAGTAGGTGAAAGTTTGGGAGATTTCCAAGGAATTCGCAGAGAACCGGATAAAAGAAATTAGGACAAGAACAATAACTGGATTAAAAAATGTTGAGAAATTGGAAACAAGAACTAAGCATGGCATACATAGACATACAGAATGATAGAAATGAGCTATTTTCTGAGGACGAACATCTATTTTACCTGTTTGCACATCTGGTAGTAACACTGCTTTTCTTCATGAGTCAGGTTGTAGGCAGGGGGAAGATTTTGGAGTGGGTGGGCAAGCCCCAGGTCAATAATCTTTGCCGTCCATCCAATCTTTGACCCCGGTGGACTCTTACACAGCATGGCATTGCCGACGTGCAGGTCGTTGTGCACCCATCCGGTACGGTGTAACACCTTCAAGCCCTCTGTGACGTCCCGACAGACATTTAGCCACTCGCGTGCCGTCAGCAGGCCGTGGCTGAACCGTGCTGCGGCAAAATCCATGGCGAGGTTGGTGCTCTCGTCCCCAAGGAATTCCTGAGCGAAGGAGCTGTTGTCGACCACGCCGAAAAGCTTCGGAAAGAAGGGACAGCTGGACACGGCTTGCATAGCAGCAACCTCTCGGAGCATGTGTTTGTCCACCGTGATCCTGAAGCGATTATTGGAAAGTTTCTTGACAGCAAGGAGTGTACCGTCACCATGGCGACGCATCAGTAAGACCTCCCCGTTATCGCCACGTCCTAAGACCACCTTGCTCCCAGAACTGGTCATGACGTATTCCAAGTCACCTGAGTCAACAGTTGGGTAGGGGCCCTGCAAATGGCCCGGTAAGATCTTCTTCAGACACGATGGTGCTATTTTAGGATGCGTGGTCTTTGACGGGGAGATGCTGGCAACACTCATGGTCTTGCTTGGGGACTTCCTTGTTGATAATCCAGATGGAGTGTTATTAGGACTTGAAGTCTTTCTCGGAATTTGAGATGATGCCCCAGGGGAGCTCTTCCTCAGCATTGTCGGTGGCAGGCTCTTTTTTTGCTCCGAACTGCAAGATTTGGGCGTAGTAAGGGGTGATGCAGGTCTTGAATTCGAATCACTCGTCTGAGCTTTGATGGTCTTTTCTTTGATGCAGCGCCTCAACTTCTTATGAGTCATCCTCTTGAAGATTTGGAGAGGAGAGATTTGGAGACTCTCGGTTCCCTGTTCTCGACTTGGAGCAATCTCCGTAGCTGGTCCTTTTCTTTCCAAAATTCTGCTCTTTGGATTCTTAGAGGCAGTTTCCTTGGAGATGATGGCCAAGATAGCCTGATTTTGACCAGGAGCACACTTCCGGGGAGCACGAGAAGGTTCATTCGATGTCTGAGTAGTGGTTTTCTCAGACAGCGTTGCCTGTGACCTTTTCAAATCGGGCGGCGTATTGCAGATATGGTGAAAAAATCGTCTCCGTTCTTCCCTATCAGGTGAAACAGAATCAGACAATTTTGGATTACATCAAGGGTGAATTTTTTCATATGCTTTTTACTGGATTCTGTGTAAAGTAACCATTGGATTTGTTCCTTACCCAGGTTGCGCTTGGACAAAACTAGCAGCTGTAATCATCTGCTTCAGCAAGTACAGTTTCTCCCGCGCTCTGTAAGCGTTTAGTTCGATACCCTAAGGAAGAAAGCAAACAACCATTTTTTACATCAATGGTGTTTCTTTAAATTCCATTCGAGACTACTATTTACGTAGGTGTTACACCATGGATTATTCCCTACCCTGATTTCTTCACTGGTGTACGGCACTTGCTTCTTTTCAAGCCTCATTTGGCGCAGTTCCTGACTACGCTGGATGATGCGCTGTAAGACATCAACCCAGCGGCACTGCGGAGATGTCACCTTGGCAGCCTCGAGGTTTGCGTAGATGAAAGAGACGTCAATCTTCAGCTGCAAAAAGAACATGAAACAGGTGTAACGGTGAAAAAAAGCTAAATACCTACTTTTTGTTCCCCATCCATATCCCCAATGTCATTCCTCAGGTCTATCTGATCGCCATGGAAATTATTCATGAGATCAAATTTTAAATTAAATTGATCTGTATAAGCTTTCCACTTATGGACCTAATTTAATCATGGACAAAGGACACGTTGCCATCCAAGCACTTTCTCACATCAGAAACAAGTGTTTCCAGAAACTTCAAGACAAATCTTTCTGTACGTGATTTCACACTGAAGTTTAACTTGCCTATGCAATAGTTACATCCCGTCTTCAATTTTCAAACTGATTATCTTTGAAGCTGAAATGTGTGTTAATCATTATTCCAAAGTAGTTTAGAATGGATTTTAAAACTGTCTTGAAAACTTACGGCGACTTGTTCCACTCGTTTTAACGCCCTTTCTCTCATTTTGACGCCGTTGGTGACGTTGGGTGTCATGTTTTGTACCGGTGGTGGCTGGCTCAATGACTGTTCAGTATTAGCCCACATAGTCTGGTAATAGTGCTTTTCAAGTTTCCTGACATGAACTCCTTTCTGTTCCTGAAAGTAAGGAGGACATGATCCATTAGAAATACATTGTAGCTAGGACTGTTTAGTTCTGAAATGGACTGATAAATAGATGTATTCAGAAATAGCAGAGTTCAGGAACTTTCAAGTTACCTGGAAACCTGGAGTTCTTTTGGACTTAACCAGTGCGGGCTTTGATATTAGACCCCCGCGTGTAGTTGGTGTGCCATTTCCACCTTGCTCCACAGCTTCTTGCTTCTTCTGAATGGAAGACAGTGAGCCCTGAGAAGAAGGTGTTACTTTACTCTTAGGAGAAGGTGGGTGCGGCTGTTTGGAAATTGATCTTCTGTCTCCAAGTGCTCCATCTCCCTCCTCGCTTGCTGCTTCTCGTGATTGCCGCAAAGATGGCAGAGAGGGAGAGGAAAGTGGATCATCTCTTGTCGGAGGACTGGGTGGGCTGAAGATTGAATCTCCTCCTTTGGATGCTCTATCTCCGCTCGTCATCACTGCGCCTTGCTGACAAGACAGCCGGGATGCAGGCCTTAGGATGGACGGCTTGGAGGAGACACTGTGTTCCGAAGAAGAGGGTGACTCCCGCGGTGAGGTGGAGCAGATTCGTGGAGCAGGGGGTGAGCTGTGCTGGCACTCTCCGTCAAACTGGGGTACCCCTGGGAGCGGCATAGGGGCAGTGTCGAGTAAAGTTGCCCTGGTCGTCACGTTGGCACTGGTCTGCCAGTGGTGAGGCACTCGAGATACCCCTATGTCAAAAACGTTGAAGAAAACGAAATAGGAACCCAGTCATCTTAGGGTAAGGACCTTAATAGGATTTCCAGCTTCTCTATTTATTAATAATCAGCCTTTTCACAGATTAAAGTTCTCAGAGATGATACATATGGGTCATAAAACAAATTGATAATTTGTGCTAATGCCACAAATCTGTGTAACGTTGAAAAGTGAACTAATTTATTAACTCGTCTTGAGTAAATGTCTGCAGTTTCCAATCTTAAACAAGGTTTATACGGTTTTCATCTCACCGTCTGCTTCAAATCTCCTCTCATCAATCTTCGTCTTCAGAGCTACACTCTTGTCGCTCTTGGGCTCTGGTGCGCTGGGTTTGTTCATGAGTTCGTCGGGTCGCCATTCCGCCGATGCTCCGGCTGCCTGAAAGGGCACAACGGCGGTGGCACTGCGGTGTTTTCTAGATGTAAAGAGATTCCGCAATCTCGTTGTCCAAGACAGCTGGGACCTGGAAGCAAATAAAATATGGGGTGTTGGATACGAATTAAATATACCTGTGTATAGGATGAAATGATTTATGGGATAGAAAATCTGGAGATAAAAAAATGGAGCAAAAACGCAATGCCCTAATAATGGGACTTTTAAGAGGGAGAGATTCTCTGTAGCAACAGAGATTTTCTGTTGCAATTGATGTAACATGCTCATTAGTTATGGTTTCTATTGAAGAAGACCAAAATTTCCAAGCGCTGAAGTCATAAAAACACTCTGTGAGAGAGTTTTGTAGTTTCTGGGAATCAAGGATCTATTTTCACATCTAACTGAATATTGAACTTCTATTTTTCTTTGAAGTCTTTTTTTATCAAATGCGATGCTGAAGTTTGTTGTTGTAAAGTGAATTAATGTATGTGATATCAAGAAAACAGTGGGAAGGGTCCGGAATAAGCATTCGATATTTCAAAACAGGTTTTAACTATTTTGATAGATTTATTTAAAAATATCCTAAGACTTGTTTTTAATCTTGAAACATGGTTTTAAAACAGTTAACTTATACTAACTCACTTTGAATTGCTGGGGAGATCTGGCCGGCGTTTGATGGTCGGGGATAGGTTATCCTTTGCAGCAAGTGGGGACCCTGAACTCCGGAGATCAATATCGGTGGTAGCTTGGCAAGATTTCAGTGCAATAATTTGCTGGCTTCTCTCCGAAGAAGACGGGGCTGCTAGCGATGTCAGTAGCATGCCATCTCCGGAGTCTTCGGCAGCAAGATGGGGCCGCTGTGCCGACCGGGAGACACTGGCGACCATCGGCCGGACCTTGGTGCGTCGGTAACGCCAAAACTTCTTATGGGGTAGAAGACTCCTGCAGGGACGGTTAGTGGAGACAAAAGGAAGTCGTCTATCCTCGAGATTGTAACTAGCAGAAATGCTTACAGTTATTAGATATATTTCTAAGACCAGGTTTCAATTTATGCTGCGACTTTGTCTTCTAAAAATAACTTTGTCCCTTTTAAAATTATTGTTAGCTTTTTCACTAGTTTCGTTTAACAAAAGAAAAAATCCCACCAATTTTGACATGGTATTTTCCATTGACGTGCATTAATTTTTATCCAACCCAAATGGCCACGTTCTTTCAATTACTAACCAACATAACTGTTCATTTCAGTCGATTCGTTTGTTTTGTCTTTATCGTCTTATCTTATCTCTTATCTTTTCCGAATGATTTCGTTAGTTTTGTTTGCCTAATTTTTTATCTTAATAAGGCATTTCTGTTTAAGACTTTGTCTTCTTTATATACTTCCATATTGCCCCTTTTAATCTCATCTGTGCCTTTCTTAATTGGTACTCTTCTATTTTGTCAATAATCATTCGTTTATTGACCAGTACAATTCAGCAATTATACTTTGCAATATGGAAATAAATTCAAAGGTAAATAAAAAAAAACAAGTTTGCTTTATTTTGTTTTAGAATTGAATGCTTGTGGGCAAGAGTGATTAGGTTCACTTTTTATTTCCATTCATGTTTTGTAACGCACTTGTTCGTTGTAATAATGGCAAATAAACAAAAATAATACTAATGCTAATAAATAATAGCATTTAGCTTCTAAAAAATGAGAAAAGTAAGGAAAATAAAATCATCAACTCACTTTAAAGGGAGTCCCTCCTGTGGTTTATTGGGATTCTGCTGATCTTGGGCAGAATCACCACTGACTCGGCCTTGTGATACCTGTAGTGGGGCTTGGCCAGAAGTCTGGCCTGTGATTGTCGATCTCACCCCGGTATCACCTCTGGATTGGATCCACCTGGCTGAAGTCAGACCGTAGTCATCATCCAGGGAGGCAGGCGAGTTGCCATCTCGGCACCTTGGGATCTCACCGCCGCCTCCGTGTGCTGGCTCCGGGGAACTTCCCCCATCATCATCCGGCACGAAACGCACCACTTTGGTGCTACGAGAATATCTAAAATGGAGAAGCAGAAATTACCAGCAAAATGGTCCTAATGAGTTGACCAGAGGTACCGGGATATTACTGTAAATAGAACAGTCATTCACATTTTAATCGAGCCATTTTTCATAAAGAAATGGTTGATTTAATTTAAGTCATAGGCCTATTGCGAAACCTCAACTGAATGTTATTCCTTATAGCTTAAAAAAGTGTTTTCTTACCTGATCCTCTCAGAAAACGCTGCTGCAAAGTTGAACATTTTGATTCGCTTTATAATTTCACTCAAGAAAATATCTCTCAGGATAAAATCTCCGTGAATTGACTGTAACTGAGCACGAAAAAGTGCACCGAAACAGGAGTCCGTGTTCACACAACGAAGAGCAAACGCAGACAAAACACAAGGTTGCTACGACCTTCAAGTTGTTAGGTAAAAGTTCTGAAATTGGCGCGTCTGGAATTGTGACGTCAGTGGGCCGCAATCTCAGCGCGTATGACGATGGACTTTTTGGCTTTGAGTCCGGTTCGTAAGTGACTTCGTCACAAAGAAGGACGCACCACGATTTGCAGGCTCCCATTGGGCAATTGCTAGAGTTTCGCGTTAACTTCCGGTTCATGTAACTGTATGTGCAGTGCATGTGCAGTGGGCGTGGCTTAAACTGAAGTGACGTCACACGTACGAACCGGATTAGTCCGAATCGAACGGCTGGACCATCCCAATGTGTTTATAGGATGTAGTGGAAGCCGCTCTCCATGGAGTTACATAGGTACACGTGTTGTTCCTAGCCAGTCATAACTTTTGGACTGACACCGTGCCAGTTTAAAATACTCACTATTTTAAATTTAATTTCCCATCTTTGGCATAGTCTAAGGAAAATAGTAAATAAGTGCCTTTGTGCTCCCTCTATGCAAGCCCTTTCTCCCTTACCTCCTTTCATACCACAGAGCGACCCGCTTCCCCCCCCCTAGTCTTAACGAGAACCTGGATGGCGTCATACTTTTCTGAGTACAGGCACAAAGCAGGACCAAGAGAGGGCGCGACAAGATATGCTCCTTTGGTAGGAACTCCACTTCGCTGGTTCAAAATGGAATGTGAAATGCTGTTAAGTAGTACGGCTCTTTAACTTTTTAACCGATGAGGGGGTACTTCTGCTCCAGGCGAATATGGTTATATAAGGGTTTCCCTTTCACTTTTCTTCAAAGAGTGCAATCTGTCACGTGGCGCCTTTATCGATAAATGGATCACCGGGATATCCACTGAGGTGGTATCACAGAATGTACGTCTGTAGTGGCACAACACGGGCCTCGTGGTATACGGGACACAGACGCTCTACCTTTTTCTGTGTTCCACTCACATTCGTGTGATAACTAATAATATCACATTCAGACACTCATTTTCCGAGCACCAGACGACACTAAATACGCGTCTGTAGTGTAAAATTGGCAGAAATAGTGCTTCCCAGTGACCCCTTTTAAAAGATTGGCCTCGCGTGTTTCATTGGAAAATCAAGATTGTGGCCACAATTCAGTTGTTTTTTTTTTTTAATTCGAAAGGGTTAGACGCGAAGGTATTTTTTCACCCTTCCTTCAAAATCACCCCCAAACAGTAATCAAATTATATATAGGCTGTATCTGCAGGTCTGACTGTGGCCACCTGCCTCTCTGCGAAATAAGCTCGCTAGGCAAGTTGGAGGTTGTTGCAGACGAAATCACCCGAGTTGGAAGTCACAAGTCCAAAATTCCTCATTTATTGAAAAGTGTTTCTATGATCCTCTGATTGAAAAGAATCCGCCGGAATTCAAAGCTCTCATGTAGAAATCCAGCGACCTGGTGGAATGGGCCATTGGCCACTTCGCCCACTTCTCACCTCGGCCATTTGCGACTTTACTCATTCGCAACTTCGCCCACCCCCCCCTCATGTCCATAAAGTGGGCTAATTCATGAGCATATTGCCCAACCCAACACGTTTGGGACAGTACACACAAAAGTGCCATTGTACAGAAGCGAATTAACGCCACGATAATAAACAAAATTCTTGCAACTATCGTGTACATACACGATAACGATGAAAAATGGCAGCATGCAGAATTTGGATCTATCACTTGTCAGAGGGTGGTTTGTATAAATAATAAAAATGCAATTAGTTAACCCCCCTTAAAACAAAACAAAAATCATTTAAATATTGTTTGAGTAAACCCAGGGGTGTTAGCTTGCATGTTATTGCGCCCCGAATAATGGTGATTCTAGAGTTTTCAATATGAATCAGTGGACTGCACCCTGAGGTTTACGCAATCAAGGCAAATGGGCGAAGTGGCAGCTGTAATATGCAACGCGTCAAATGGAAGACTTGGTGTTGTTGACGAAGTGGTTGTGTGCGAGGTGCACGTGGTAAAATGCGCAAAGTGAGCGTGAAGCAGCATGTGGCGAACCACCGGGCCATACAGCTTTGTGTTTGGGCAAACCAGTACAAAACCCGCCAAACATAAAAGTGACGAATACCCCAAGCTTAAAAAAATCGGGAAAGTTCTTAGTTGTTGAAGACAAATACCAAGTTAAAACTGCTCCCCTATCATCTCGACATTTCCATGTTTTCTATCTTTTATATTTTTGGTACCCTGTAGGTTAACCAATTAATGTTGGAGATACTTCCATCCAAAGATAATCCAGTTCAAGTGGCGGTGGAACTTGGATTTCGTGCGCACATATCACATAAATTGGGGGCGGCCGGTCCCAAAAGTTGCCCCCCCCAAAAAAAAACTTCGAACGCAGACGGACTTCACCTCAACCCTCCCCAATTTTCAAAATATGGTTCACGTATGGGAAATAATGATGGAGGAGGATTTCTTGAAAACTTTTAGGGGTGCATTCCACCAAATTTTTGTATCAGTTATGCGCGCGAGCTCACTAATACTTTGAGATCCCACGGGATTTTTACAATAAGACAGGCCATAATCAGGAAACATCATAAAAATATTACCATTAAACCCGAATTTAGGACTGATAGTTTCCCGTTCGGGATATTTCTTTCACATAAAGCCCCAAATTGCGGACCTGTTTTGGATAGAGGCTGGCGGCTACATTCAGAAATGAGCACTTAGTTTTACTGCTAAGTTGGGGGTATCTTCGTTCAAAGGCGAATTAAAAAAAATCCTTGGCTAACCCCCATGAAATTGAAACAAAAAGTAATCTTCTGGACATAATCTTGAATTTACAGTGAAAAACGAAGGCCAACCTCTTCACGAGAGTCAACAGGCGGCGCCTTTTCGGTCCGATTTTGCACTGTTTTCTATGGACGCGTATTTGGTGCACTGATCGCTATTCAGTGATTTGATGTAGTGCAACCATTGATCTCCATTATATAATGAAGATCAATGAGTGCAACCTTAGGGCCAGGGGATCGATGGACAATAATTATGGAGCGCCAAAAGTAGACAACCCCATTTTCTCATTTTCTGTTAATAGATTTTCGGGGTTTGGGAATTTGCGTAAAGCATTTTCAAAAACTCAATTTTCTGGCAGCAAATATTGGGATTTCACTTTTAAAAGTCTTCATAGCGCGTGAAAATTGGACAACTAAAAATTTCCGGTAGCTATTTGATACACTAAATGAGGACAACCCATTTTCTCATATTCTGCTGGTAGATTTTCTGGTTTTTTGAAGTTGCACCATCCCTTTTCGAAAAAAAAACTTTTTTTTTTGTCAACAGAAATTTGGATTTAACTTTGACAACGGCGGGGTGGCCCAAAGTGGCCAAGTGGAAAATCGAAAAGACACTTTTCTCTCTACGTTGAAATGGGACGGTCGTAGGAAGACCTGCATCACCTACCCGGAGCCAGCTCGATTGTAGGTCAACTCGCCCACTGGCCGACTCGCCCCTTACCAGCTCGCCCCTTACCAACTCGCCCAAGCCGACTCGCCCCCTAGCCAACTCGCCCCCGACCGACATGCCNCCCCCCCCCAGTTTGCCAAGCACGTATGGCCGGTCCATTCACCATTTAATAAAAAATACAATCAGTCCGATGGAATCGGTGATTCCTGCCCTTAAAAATAGATTCTGGGGTTTGCAGCGGGCACTCAAAGTTGCGTTTGTTTAAAGCTTGGTGGATATTCCCTTTGTGTGGGATTTGGCGGATAACAATATTTTTTTTATATTGGTAAAACTAATTTAGTATTATCGTGTGTATGGTCCATTGCGCAGCGTTTCCTGTGTATTGTCTATGGGATTTTGTGCGCCACAACACCAACACTCTACGATATCAATTAACTTTGCGGACTATTTCGGATAAAAAAATGGTACATTTTAGGCATAATGCCCGGCGACGCAAACCTACGGAAGTGTTAAGGAGACATCATGATTTATGACAAAGGGTGTAACGGTCGCTATACACTTTCAGGTTCCGATAACTTTAGAGGATACAATTATTAGTTCACAATTAACACTAAATACTGATTTATTCGGTGAGTACAGTCACCAAGGATCACATTGTTGTTCGGCCATATTGAATTACATCCCAGCATGCACTGTCGGTGTCATGACGTCATGGAAAAACAGTCATGTCATCTGGTGCCCGTTACTTGTAAACAAATTAAGAGCACTCTCAAAGATATTCAATTCCAAAAAAGGAATAAAAATTACGCAAACAAAAAAATTAATAATGGGGCGTTAAAAATTGACATTAGTGTACAATGTACCACTATGACTTTATACATCACACAATACATCGATTAGTGGTGATGTCCAAATATCCATCACCGTCCGTGAGTCGTTCGTGTCGCGTCGTTGGTTAGAACCATTGGTTTTTTTAATATATTGGGCCAGCCATATTTGCTTGACGTTCCTAAGGGTGCATTGTCCCAATTCAAGGAAAATTCTCCGCCAGGCGGAGGCGCACAAAAAGTACCCCCCCCCCTCAGATTGTTTCAAAAAGAGGGGTCTGTTTGGGCCAAGAAATGGTGGGATTGTGCCAGTATGGCCCAGGATCATCTCTGTAGATTCAGGGGCACCCATCTGGGGGCAAAGCAGACAAAAATGGGATTGAAAATTAGTCAGAAGAGCCCCAGGAAGGTGAGGGATGTCATTTGAAAAATGACCGCTGGGAGCGTTTGGCAACATTCACTTTTGGGGGGTGGGTTTGTTTTGGGCGGATTATTAAAAAATTCACTTTCGTTAACCTACTAAAAATTGAAAATCAAATGAAAGGACCAATTGGTTCAGTGCACCCCTAAGGGGCGAGTCGGTCAGGGGGCGAGTCGGCTATGGGGCGAGTCGATCAGGAGGCGAGTTGGTAAGAGGCGAGTCGGTCAGGGGGCGAGTTTACGAGGGGGCGAGTTGGAAAGGGGCGAGTCGGTAAGGAGCGAGTCGGTCAGGGGGCGAGTTGACCTGACACCAATACATGTAATATCATTCCCAGCTCCAATTTTTGGTGAAATTGCGTATTTTCATATAGTTTGTGCTGTCCCAATAGCCAAATTTTCTCAAAACAGCAAGGGAAACAGAAAATAAACAGCTCAAGAGAACTGAAAGGAGCCCTGTTGGACACCACTAGAAATAACTACAAGCTACCTACATTGGCTTCAGTAAAATCAAAAATCCCTCAAACCATAATGTTGACCGAATAAAGGGAACTAAAGTGTTGCATTTGCCTGGGATGAAATACTTGGGAGCACTTTTTTTTTTATCTCACACTTTATTTGCCTAATTTGTCTAATCGGAGTAAAAAACCACACAAAACAAAATCCGAGGAATGATAGTTTTGTTTTATTTGCTCTCCATAGATCTTGCGAAATCAATCACTCGCTGGTACTTTTTGCTTCACTCGATTTGCAAATATTTCTGTGCGGTTACCAATTAAGATTCTCCCGGCATGCATCGCTCACATATTTTGTTTTTCCAAGATGGCGGCGAACACAAGCGACGCTATCTTGCCCGAAGCGGGCGGAAAGACGAGTGAAAACACCGTGAAAATCATCTGTCTCGGGGATTCAGCTGTTGGAAAATCAAAGTAAGTACATTTAAGAGTGATTTCGTGATCACCCGTGTCAGTTCATCCTGGAAATATGAAATATTAAACTCGAACTGTCAACTCTCGGTGCTGCCATGGATGCGGTGCAGTGGCAGTGCGGGGGGGGGTCATGCTAGGGTCTTACTAATTACCGTCAACACACGATAGTAACGTCAACACAGCGTTAACTTCCCGAAAATACAATTCTAATTCACAAAAGTGGCGTAGAAAGGTAATACTCGGGCTGAAAGAGATTTTCCAGTAGTTGGAGGTCACAAATCAATTTGCAAAATGGATTTTTTCACACGAAAAAACAAATGTACTCTAGCAGTGTAGCTGTTTACCGCCATCTTGCCTCCTTATATGGAGCTTGGACTGTACCATTTAGGTGTGGATATGCTGCACTATAAATTAAATACTTTTTAAGACAGTAAAAATCAATATAGCAGACACAACATCTTAGATTTTATTTAACACAGTTATTGTCAAAATAAGAAAAGGGACAATTCTTCAGTCTTAAGAAAAATACAAATGTAGTAACTTTAAAGGAAAGAGCATTGTTTGTTTATCATATAATATCACCACCCTCCAGTGGTATGGTCCCAGTTGCCCCAGAGGCAACATGGCAGCTGATTTCTGAGCTGTTCAAAGGAGGTGATTCGGCCAAATTAAAACAATAATTTTCCTGAGTCTAACCTGTTGAAGTTCAGGCAAACTATCCCTTTGGCAAACATGTTATGGTCGAGTACCCCTTCTTTTGATTTGAACATGTTTGGGGGTGTTGATGCTGTGGTGACGGTTTGTTGACGGTAATTAGTATGACCGTCATGCTATTTAGCGTCAAGGGAGCGTCAACAAAATATTCAAGCATTTTTATGCAAATGTTTTATATTTACAACATTAGTAAGGCTCCTACATATCGTATTCAATGTATTGCATTATTGAAAATGATATTTGAGTGTGGAAATTTGAGCGACAAATTCGGGCCTGCTCGTGTTGCCCGACCGGCCGCCATCCAGTTTTCTCGTGGACGGTAGAGTAAAGAAAAGTGGCAGCCTCCATGCATCACGAAAAAGTTTCGTTTTTCTGCGTGAATCTGGAAGCGAATTTGATGTTTCTCTTGCACAGTGGCAGGTCTTAGAGTCTCTAAAATATGATGAAACCACTTTTAAATCTTTAGAGGGCATTTTCAAGTTGTTGACGCTTGTTGTATGTGTTGACGCTTGTTGACGCTAAATAGCATGACCAGTGCAGGGTAACTCACACAGGTTTGCTCCATGGGGACGATAGCACTGCACGCGCCGGCAGTTATCGTTGAGTCCTACCCTAAAATTACAAATTATTCACGCTCACAAGTAATCGCAAATCTAACTTTCTTGGCATGTACATGTATCTCTGAGCATGAAATATGTACATGTAGGCTACTGACAATTTACCGTCGATCAGACATGCAAGTTCCAGTTAAACATTTCACCATTTGTATGCTCACACTGATGTAGGCCCTATTTAGACATTCAATTCCATCTCGGTTTGTCAGGAACTGGAGCTCCTACCCTAATTTTACATTCATTTTTATTATTCTCCATACATGTATTTAATCCATCCCGTTGCACTGTCAGTGACTGTTTTTTATCTCTTTTAACCCCATGTATATTTGCATGTACTGGGTCATGTACATGTATCTTTGTTTGTGTTATGTGCTGTCATGGCTGTGGAGGATACGGAGAGACACACCCTTTTAGCGACAGTGTTTGAATTCACTTTTTGGTCTTTCTCTTAGGCAGCCTTTTACGGTCTTTTTCTTTGTCCTGTCTGTGTATGCATTTTAAGATTTAATGTCAGTTCTTGTGTGATATGTTTAGTTTTTGTGTGTGTGTGTGTATGTAGATCATGCCTACATGTTTGTCATGCTGATTTAACATATCAACGTCCTCTTTGCAGCAGGCTATGATGTGTAAATTAAAAGTTCATCAGGCCTAGGCCTATTGAGGAAAAAAAAGCAAAGTAAACTTTTACTATTTAGGCCAAATGCAAATGTTTTTATTGTCAAGAACATTTATAAACGATCACTATTATTAGCTCATGATCAGTCATGTCAGAGTTGACTCGACCACGACATGTTTGAAATGCGGTCAACTTACTGCCAAGTATCACAGGGATGAGATTTTTCAGCTTTTCAGCTGATTTCATCTTTCTTTTTTTTGGATTTCAGCTTTTTTTCCTCACTGGCTTTGTACAAAAACATGGGAGATTTTCACAGTTCATCTTTTTATGTCTTTTTGGAGCTGTTTTCAGCTATTTTTATCATTGGTCAATCTTATCTCTGGAATCAGGACTGTTTAAAGTGTTGTCAAACTTTGGGGCCTGAAAACCATGTACACCTTTAAAATTTTGCCAGAATTTCAAGATATCCTTTGCTAAGATGTGGAACTTTTTTTATATTTAACTTGTTTTTGCAGAAATAATGGAACAAAAGTTTCCTTTAGGTCAAGAGTACTTACCCAAATCAATTGCTCAATTACATTAGGCCTATGGGTTATAACTACTTTGGGATAATTTGTTTGAAAAAACAAAAATTTGTGTCTTCCTGTTACTCAAAATTATGTTGAAAAAAAGAAGAGGAGAAATAGGGGAAAGTCAAGATGTGGCAAATAAAAGTATTTTTTCCTTAAATTACATCACAAAACCCCAGTCCAGTAAACACACAAATTTGTTACCAGTTAAAGAGCAATGAATTGCAGAAGTAGGAGACAGCTGAGACCCTGTAAAATGAAATGAACATTGTGTGCAAATTATGGTGATGTACGCTTTACTTACTACATGTACAACCAAACTGACTTGTATTCCTGTCATTCACTGACGTCCAGCGTTCTTCAAAATATTAATATTCCATATAGGATTTTAGTCAAACTTTGAAACTTATTGAAGTGAAGTCAAAGTTAACTTAATTTAAGAACAAAAATCAGTCAAAATACTAAGAACACCAATTCTTGTAACACTCAGATATACTCCATGAACATGTACTGTATGGAATCTGTTGATCCTTTGGTGGTGCAGTAAGTCAATTACTTTTGTTTCAGTGAGAATTTAGGGATTTTACTTTGAAATAAAACCAGTGTCACCTATCACAAGAAAGCTCAGAATAAAAAAATACACCCTGGAGAAAGATTGCGGAATAAAAAAAAATGCTTTAAATCTTGGACAGAGAGCGTGAGGAAAGTTGAGGGGGATCCAAAGCGAGACATTGCATTAGAAGAAACTAACTGTACATGTACGGTGTAGCTCATTGCATAGGGACAGCACATGTGCGGTACGTGTAGATATGCATTGACATGGGTGCACAGAGAAGTGAGATTGTGTAGTATCAGTACTCGCACATGGCAGCCTACATGCACACATCCATATACATGGAGCTGATCATGACAAAGAAAAGAGTGTGAAGTGAGAATATACATGTAGTAGTGCATTTCTCCCTATGATGTCACAATGGTTTATACTGTACATGTGCTTTCTGACTTAATAGACTAACGTACATGTACATGTAAGATTAGTAAAATTGAAATTAGTAAAATTTAATATTTGAAAGCATCACGGGTTCGACAAGATGGAGGAAAATTACAATCCACCATTTTGTGTTACTGATTTGTTGCGACTGCCTGTGTTCCCATTCAAATGGACAGGGTGATATGATAGTGGTACAATAAAAATTGTTATACCACGGTCATAGATAGTGAATTTTTATTGGTTGCGAACTGATTACATGATATGTTACAAGTGTCCATGTATCATTCATGCATCTCGCAACTGGTGATGTTGCCACGCCAAAAAATATGATCGATCACAGTGATCCTTCCCAGAGTTGATGTGTCGCGTCTACTGCTTTGTCATTGTGAAAGGGATCAAAGTAATTCTTCATTTTAATTTTATTACATGTATAACAGGTGTGGCAACTATGTGAAAAAAAATCATTTCCCCCTTGTGATATGGATGAACACTGATGGGAAAAGCACTTGGCTGGTTTTTTATTAGAGGTTTTGGTACATGTACATGTTGTAATTTGTTTCTTCAATCCTCATAATAATCAAAAGAAGTAGGGTTAGAAATTAGTCAGTGTCAGCTTTTCACAGGTTCTTTATTTTGTTTAAAGTTAGAATTTAGTCATGTTAGTGTAAGATGTACAGGTACTGTACATTTACATGTAAGTCATTTTAGGACTTACATGTAATTAATCTAAATGATGAATAATATGATTTCCTCAATCAAGTCTAGATGCTGACTCAACACAGTCTAACGATCTGATTGTTGACGGTATTACATTTAGGTGTTCTGAATTTGAGTGGGCTGAGCAACTCTACACTTAACATGTTAACATTTTACAGAGACATGTAAATCCTGAACAAGAATGCCAGTGTGATGTGAATGTTTGATGTTGAGGTCACCCAAATGTCACAGTTAAAAAAAGACCTATTGACATAGTGCTGTAATGCAATAGAATAAGAACTCCTTGTATTGAGACAGCCTTGACTCAACCATCTTCAGCCAGTTGCCTAGCAACCAGTTAAGACATTTGAAGTGGGCTGAATAGAATATTCTGCATTGGCCGGTTCTTCAAAGCAGATAAATTCAGCTGCAGCGATGTTTTATTTGATTGCATGGAGAATCAGTACAAATAATATAGGGCTGTGCCGAAGATCCAAATATTTGATCAATTATTGAATATTCGAATATTATTTTCTGAATTTGAATATTCAAATGCAAAATTCACGAAAAGGAAGGGAAAATTTTCTTGTGTTTTAAATCAAAAAATTTCCGCTATGGAGGCTTGTTTCAAGCAGATTCAAATGAAAAGCAACAGAAATCTTCTAACAATTTAAAAAGTAAATTACCAGTTCAAGAAGTCAAAAGGAATAGAAATTTTCAACAAGGCAAGAAGTATTGTTCCTCTTTTAAATCTTACTTAATTGTGGCTGGAGATACATGTACTCCTAGACTTGAGTGATTATAATGTACAATTTTGTGCGTTATCACAACTGATTTTGTATACATTGTTCAACAACCTGCTAGTCAGTACGACCAAATATTTGGATATTTGATTGAATTAAGGGTCAAATATCCGAAAAGTGAATTATTTGAAATGACTCAGCCCTAGAATAATACACTGTATTGAAACTATGTGCGGATCTTGCATGTTCATTGAAACACGAATGCCAGTTCAATTCTGAAAGACTCATATGTAGGACCATTCAAAAATTTCAAAGTTTTTAAATTTCCATTTTTTTTTGACCCACCCATCTACCTAACCCCATTTTCGATAAACAAAAAAGGTGATTTTGTCATCCAGTTGTAAAACTCCCGGTCCAGCTTACTACATGAAATTGCATGCACGAACATGTCCATGTATACTTGCACATTAAAAGTAAATACATGAATGTCTCTCTGCACATGTGTGCCCAGTTCGTATGCTGTACCATGGTTGTACATATCATGAAGTTCAGTTCGGTCACCATTCCGGAGTTCAGGAAAGTCAAAAGATCTTTTTTTGTTGTTGGTTTTTTTTAATATCAAAAAGGAATTTCGATTTTCATTTGTATTGTATTTTCCTTGACCCAACCGCCCACTGTTTCAAAAACAAAATCAAAATTTAAACACACTGGAAATTTTGAATGGCCCCTTAAGTTTTACTCTAACACTAATAATGTATACATTTATACAGTTTGTTTACACATTACAGTGCATTTGTGCATACAGAATATAAAGCCGGCGAAGGATATTTTGATGTTACACGCCCTCTGAACTATAACTTATTTCCATATCTCTTTATCATTGCAGGTTGGTGGAGAGGTTTCTTATGGATGGATAGTATCCTTTTAATTTGTTTTTTACTTTTTTCTACTCGACTGATCTATGGTTGGGTGGACTCAGAGTGAATGGCTCACTTACTTTGATGTGGCTGGTTGGTTGAGCAATCACTTTGCTGATAATGGCTTGCTTGATGTCAGGCATGCTGTAATGGCTAATTGGTATTTACATTTTTCTTCTGTTGGGGAGAGGGTTTAAGCAATTTTTATGGAGGGGCTAAGTCATTTCTCATGTTCATTCAATGCTTCTTTTGTATCAGGTAAGCTTCATTCTCCCCTAGCTGCAGATTTTGCATTGCCTGGTTTGAACAACATGATTGTGAAGGCTACTTTCACAGAAATCAATACTCCAATTTGGTTCTTGTACGATGGTGCCATTTATCTGCCGCACAGTGTTACACTTTGGAAGATTGAGAATAAAATTCCTGGAAAAATTATGTGTAGGCATCTTACGCTTCAAATCTCTACATTTTAAATCTCTACAAGACTCAACTCATCACATATATCCACTTAAATCTAGTCTGATATCTTTCTTGTGCATGTTGTATTGTTCGTCCAGGTCATCAGAATATTCCCAGACCCTTCAAAGCAAACCTGGGAGTTAGAAGGATTTCCAAAATGACGGGCAGTAGAACCCAATCATTACTTCACACGGGACTTGATGCTCCTTGAAAGTGTAGCTTAAGAATTACAGTGCTATAGATAGGCCTGTCCTATTCTGTGGAGGATTTTAGAGGACTTTAACTGGTAACTCGGTGTAAAAACTGCCAAGGTATGGTGCGTACACGCTTTGCGTGTACACATTGGTAAGGATCTATTCAGTTGATCATTCCTGAACTCCTCCTCACAGTCAACCGCAGCAGCTCTCCACGTATGCACTTACTCTCTTCAGATACAACACCAAGGTCGGAGGTCAAGAAGTGGCAGTAGGTAGGGTCTCGTCTTAACTGGGGAATCTTGTTATTCATGTGTTTCCGTTTGTGGCAAAAAATGTCATGTATTTACAATTGGATAGAAGTATATTTCTGTGAAATTGGTTGCTCTGGAACTTTTGACTTGGTTTCTGGGAACTACACTGTCCAGTTCCGTAAAAGTCATGTGGTATTTGTGTTTATCCTTAAATTAAGGATGTTTATTTCATGTTATAAAAACAGCCATTTTCATCCTTTTTTTCAAGTCTATACATCTGTAGACAGTAAAATTCTCTCCAAGGTACCAGTACAGCAAGTAAAACTGGTTTGTGTGAAGATGACGAATTTTTTAGAATTCATATGCTGGATAAACATTTCTCTCTCTGATCGGTCATTTCACCTTATTTTTTTCTTCAGATTTCTGGGATACTGCGGGCCAAGAGAGATTCAGCAGTATGCATCCATCTTACTACCACCAAGCTCACGCATGCATAATGGTTAGTCTCAACTATCATAAATATGTATCAGACCATGTACCCAGCTGGTGGAAATATGTAAACTGCCTTTTATCTTGTGCAGGTAAAATTATTTCACTCTAGTGGGGTCATTTTGACGCAGATGGCTCCCATATCCTTCAAAATTCACCTGTTCTTTTATTTTTTGTTTAAGGTTTTGCAGGGTTAGAAATGAAAACTGCAGCCTGACCATTAGTGTACAAGAGTCACGATTCCTCTAAAAGTTTCAAGTGTAGGAATTTTTCCATCACATTCTTGCACAGTGCCAGCTTGTGTAGGGTGAATTAGATAGGAGTAGTGTCTTATATGACTTGTGAGACTAATCATACATGTAAGTCTATTTTGGGGTACGTTCACTGTGAGGTTGGCATTTCTAATACCTTACATGTTTTATATCTTCCTGGCTAGTGGATGACTTTTCACTTACTTTGGAGCCATCCCCACTAGCTCGTCAGTCCTAGTAATGGCATAAAATGGCGAGCGTGTCAAACATGAGTTAAGGCCCAGCCAGCGGCTTTGTACAAGACAAGTTGAAAATTTTATGAGGGAACATGTTCAATGTGCCGTGACCAATTCCGGCCCTCTTAATTGTCCATTACTACTACCTGTGTAATTATATCCTGAGCCATACATTATGCATGATGGTAATTTCCGTGGTCACAAAGTCTGCTACATGAGGACTAGTGTTGGCATTGCACAGCCTCATGCCTGGTGAAAATTGGACTGCCACAATCAGAGAGCATAATAATCATGCAAGGCCTTTATAAGCTGCACAGTATCTGATGATGTCTATCATTCAGAGGTGCCGATATGTTAGCATCCCAGCTCATCAGGCTCACCATATCTTAACATGAATCCTGAAATCATATTGGCACCCTGGAGAGTTTACAGCATGAGTCTGACATTTCAGGCCGATGGCTTACGTAGTAGCCATCAGTATTAGCATGATTCATTTGTCCATTCTGCGTGAGCACTTTTTTTTTTTATATGTGACCCATCACAATAACATGAGCGTTAAGTCGCATTCAGCTCTCTTCTAATTTGAAGGTTTGAGGTCATATTGAAGTGGAGGTCAGTTTGGGGGTTTCGTAATATTTGGAAAGAGTAGGCTGACTCCAATTTAATTCTAAATATTTTGCAGTATCATATATTTAAAAGTGTCATTTTCTCAGCAATTTTGACGATAGCATTATTCGTGCCATGTCAGAAATGTTGAAACTGTGTCAGGAACAAAGACGCAAAGCCGCCAGAATAATGTCACATTGTTATCTCGTACTTTTAGTGTAACTGTTCCGTAGACATACATGTACCATTGGAAAGCTCTCTTTTTGCTGAATTCAAATATGCCAATATCCCAATTTTTTGAAAAAAAATCTGACTTTCAGCTCATTTTCTGGTGACAGATCACATATGCTGCAGTTTTGCACTCAAATCAGGCAACTTTTTTTCGCAGGAATTGTGTATTATGCCCATGGTACATAGTGGCAGGAGAGCTCATGAAACATGCCAACTGCTACATGTAAATCAACTGAAAATGTTTGGATTTCTTTGTTTTTGAAGGTGTTTGATGTCACAAGGAAAGTAACATACAAGAATTTACCCCAGTGGTATAAGGAGCTGAGGAATTACAGACCTAAGATACCGTGTCTACTAGCAGCTAACAAGATAGACGGTGAGTACAAATAGAAGCAGGTTGATTACATATGTTAAGACAAAAATAAAGCAGAAAAAGAAGAAATCTGCATTTGATGAGAATCAGTTGTATTGCTGCCTCATGTTTTACATCCAAAGGTTTGGATTGACTAGAAAACGGGAAAAATGAGCTTGAGAACTCCTTACCCTTCGTTTGTGGGGAACAGAAATTGTCCTTTTTTTGTCTAATTCATCGCGGAAAGGATTGAGAGTGAAGGGTGTTTACAAGCATAATCTGCAAAATGGAAATGGAAAAGTGCTTCTAGTTGCCGTGAAACTAAGAAGGTGCTACCTGCCTGCTAGAGACAATCAACCTTTGTAGTGGTCAAGTAGTCAAGAAGATCATGGAGTTGAAAGTGCATATTTGCTTAGCGTGGGAAAATCTTTGCGCAGCAAGAAGTAGATTTCCAGCCAACAGCTGTTTGGGGTCTGTAATTTTCATTCTGCCCTTGACTGGTTCTGGATCGGTGTTTACTTCAACAGCAAAATTTTCCTGTGGAGCAGTTTCATAAAATCAGACCCTGGGAAGGAGTCATACGGGTCCCATAAAAATAATATTTCTTGTCTTTTTTTCATTTCTTATAGTTGACTACAACATTACCCAGAAGAACTTCAACTTTGCCAAGAAGTACAACTTACCATTTTACTTTGTCTCCGCAGCTGATGGCACAAATGTTGTCAAGGTACACAACATCCCTCTAGAAATAATACAAAGAAGAACATTTATCCAACTTTATTAACATTTCTTATATTACTGAATGTTTAGAATGTCTTTTTTGCTGTTGTTTTGAAGTGACTCGTTACTTTTTACCCCAAACTTCCAATTTTTAATAGCATGTCTGGAGTTGATATCCCAGTGTCTTGTTTTACTCTGTCGTATTGAAAAGTCAGTTTCAACTTTTTGTCACGTCAGCCTTTTGGTTACGGAATGTTTCCCATACTTCTCACTCCACAGCTTTTCCGAGAAGCAATCAAATCAGCAGCAGCTTACAAGGCCAACCCTACGGACTTCATGGACGAAGTTATGCAAGAATTAGAGGTAAATCTTGACATGAACTTTCCATTGATTTTTCAAAAACAAATCCTTAATTTATGACCTTTTTGTAGCAGGTGCCATTCAAAGTAGATCGAGGAGCTTCTCATTACTAAAGAATTATGTGATTAACCTCGTGATCTCCACCAGGCTTCTGATTTGATAAAAGTTTATTTTCCCAACCGAACAGAATTTTGACGATCTAAAATTGTCACCTGATAGTGGGCTTGACTTGGCCAACAACTCAGAGGACAAAGAGGATGAGAAAAAGGTTAGCGCAGCCTCAACACCAGAGGGCGCTGCAGGGTCGTCATGACAACAACCCAACTTGGTAGGCAAGGGGTAATTATTGTACAGAGGTTATTTAAGTGGTACAGATTCAGACAGTGGCACTGCCATTAGAACTGAAAACTTGTGTGTCGGCACATCTGGTCACCATAATCAAATTGATTTCTTTGGTGCACCATGTTGCCACGGCAACATGGCAGAGTTTTTCACAGACAGATGAGGACTGTATAAGCACAGACTACATCTCCAAAAGATAGATGGTTTCTGGCCAAAGGGTACCAGTTTCAGATATTCCCTGAAACTGTTGCAGAGTGCCATGTTCAAATACTGCAGCATGTGATGGGAGACGTAGCATATGCAAGCTGAGGCAATATTGTTAAAAGAATGTAACTCTACAGAAACCGAGTGTCACTCTTTGAAATTGTTAGGGCGAGGACAGGATTTTGTGTGTATTTTTAGTGTAGCAATATTCCATTTCCCCTTCTGTGTACTGTTTGCTGTTCATTCTACTTACTATTGCCCGCTGCTGTACACTGTTGACTGTTCTAAGCACTATTTGCCCACTTTGTACAACAACCTATTCTCTATACTGGTTTTGATTCTGTGCACTGCCTACTCATTTATCCACACCTCCTCCTCGCTTCATTCCACTGTGTAATAATGTAACATTAGCATCTTGTAACATACAAGAAGCTCCAAATTAATATTCCTTTGTACTTTTTGCTAAAGCTCTTAAAATTGCCAAAGCTACCAACCTCACATGCATGAACTCAGTTGTAATAACACGCTGGTCTGCAAAATAACTTCCTAGATTCTTTCTGCCGTGTGACCCCAGTTATATGGGTATTAAAGACAAAACCATGATGTACTTTATATGCATGACTGGTCCAAGTTTAAACCATATTTAAGATTCGGTTTTAGTTTGATTCTTGAATGTGGGAACATCAGCATCAAAGTTAGGAAAGATGCAGATTGTTGTGATCAGCTTTCAAATTTCATGCTCAAATTTTTCTATGCTTAAATTTTGATAGACCGAATTGCTAATGTGTGCGATTTGTGTCCAAAAAATCGGTGCCTACGATTTTATATCTGTAAATAAGAAATCTTAGGAAGGAGATTTGTTGGCGTGCCCAAAAGTTTGTAAGTAGGTGAGTATTTAAGTTATACATAAACTGTATATTTAAGGAAAAGATGTGCACATATGTAAAACATACTGAGAGGGGAAAGTATTGTACAGTGGATGTATGGGGAGAAGGGGGCCTTAGTTTGACAAGTTGCCATCATTTTGTGCATGCTGACAAAAAAAAGGTGTTTACACCGAATACTTTTTTATTTAAAAAACTTACTGTGGTTACTTTTGGAAAGTATTAAAGACTTGAAACGTGGCCCTACTGTACATGTTGACGAATCCAACAAACTCCCAGTTATCCCAAGTTATGCAGGGGTGACAGATTTCAAGTTTCTCCAGATTTCCATTTATGGGGCCAAAAAGGTGGATTTTTAAGAAGTTTAATCATTCAGGACTTTCTTTTTTTTATTTCCGCTTTTTGAGCAAGGGCCAAGTTCTCATCATGGCCTTTTGGAAGAGAACCTGAGCTTTGTTGGCCATTACAAGTCCTCAAAAGTCAAGGTTTTTTTAAACAGTCATTGCTACAACCCAACTGTTAGATGTTTCATGGTCTTCTCTTTATCCTTCAAGTCTCATCCTGGCCAGCTGGAAAGCAGTGGCCTTTTTGTTCTGAAAACCATAGCTAATCCTCACTTCCACAATGCATCCATCATCTGGGTATGCCATGTTGAAGTGCACCCCCAAGCGGCAAAAGAAAGAAAGGTGGTAGTAAGTTTTCCAAGTAGGTTCTTGCACGCATTCTGCGTGTACGCAAGGACCATACATTAAGGAAAAAATTTGTTAATGTACTCGGCGTGCTGCACGTCAAGCACCCATTGATCTCTATTATAAACATGCACTTATGCGGTGAATAGGCCTACCACAAAAAACCACTGCCCTCTCTTGTTGCGCTAAGAGTGGATAGTCAACTCAACTGCAGAATTTGAAGTGATCATCTGCTGTTTAGTATGTGTAAGGGTTCTATTAAAAAACTAAAATATTCACCTTGAAAGAAACCCCTTTTGCACATTTTTTCCAATACAAATTAAAGTTAAATGAAATTTTTTCATTAAAATAAACTTTTTTGTGGAATAAAGTGCATCCAAGGATAAACTTTGATGTAAATATTGATGAGTTGTGAATGCCACTATTTATATTGATTGTTGCTTGGATGAAAATGTGGTTTTTACTGAAACTTTGACGACTGGTTCTCGGTTATTCCTTGTATTTTGCATCGGGTATGGACCTGTCAAGAAGTTTCCTTTGCTGATACATCAAACAGCAGCATTAATGATGACCTAAATAATGACTGCATTTGCCTTTCAAGCCATGTATGAAGTAGCATAGATGTTTTGGAAAGAAATAAAAACCTTTACAATATATGATTGTGTTCTAAACATGTAAACATTGCCATTTTGGAACGAAACATTTAAAGACCACTTACCAGCTTTTAAAAAACTATGTTTCACAGACGGGGGAAATGGTAATTTCTGTACATGTACATAAAATCACCTTACTGTTGTGTAATGATGCTATGTCTATGACTAGTTAGAAGGAAACTTGTTTTATACATTTTTGGCAGTAACCTCATTCGAAATGTAAATTGTGTCTATTTTGAGGGTGGTACCACTTTTCAAAAACCTGATTGTTTCGTCCCATTTCTGACTTATCACATTGAGTGCAGCTGTTGTGATAGTAGATGCAGACTGGTCAGTGATATGGCAGCGCTCCCTTTTACAATGTATTATATTAATGTTTCATTCCTTCCTGCATTTTCTGGTGTAATTCTCTGAGTAGCTTGTCAAAAGTCCCCTTTGAACGTTTTCGACATCTTTTTTTCCCCTTAATTGCATTTGTGTGTGTGTGGATGGGTGTTTGCATGTTCATGTAACTTGAGAAAAATCATTTTTGTCTTCTTTGTGACATTTTACACTGTTTCTAGTTTCTAATTTAACGGTAAAGTTATGTTTGTATCATGCCATAAGTAACAGTTATTCAGTTGATTCAGAGAAGTCTCTTTATGTGGAGACAAGACCAGTGATTTTTTTCAGAAGTGTCATTTTATTTGTTAAGTTTAGTTCGATTTGATAATTTTATTCATTTTATTTCAATTAACATCTTGTCTGTGTGAACAGTAACAACAATGTGATTCCAGGCTTATTTTGTGCCGGTTCTTGCTGCATTTATTCTGGGAGAAAGTAATTTCATGTCCAGCCATTCAAGTTGAAAATAGTGAAACACCTGTGAAGGTTAAAATGTACAAGTACATGTAGTTGAACTTTAACTGTTTAATACATTTTGGAAGTTAATAGTAAAAATGGCTTTACGCTAGACTGGTATTAGAAACCAAAAAGACGGCTGTGATACTTAACAGTGAAGAGGAGTTGATTAGAAGGTTTTGCACTGTATTCATTCCGTCTTAGTGTGTAGAAATTACAGAAGCCAAATTCTCATGTTACTATAAGGAGAAACCCTGAGATATTTTTGGATGAATTTGACAGTTACTGTAAAGGTTAAACCCTGTGTGACTTGGAGCAAGTGCAGTCCTACAGTTCATGTATGTCATATTTGGCACTGTATTTGCCTTCAGCCCTGTCCCATAATACATATATTTTAGCCCAAAGAGAATCGTTCTCAAACCAGCCTCGTTTTTTAATGTTACACCATAGTGATTTGGGATATTATATACAAATGTACCTGTTGTATTTTGTTCTCTTTAGTTTCCGTCCAGAAATTATGTACTCTGGTTTGTATTAGTCTGTACTTAGAGTTTGCCCAAATGTTTGTTTAGTTTACCTTTCTGCAGTTGACTGATGTGTATTTTTAGTGGTTCACTTTGGTATATTTTGGATCAAGTGCTTTGAACGTTGAATTCTTTAATATGTATTCATAGATTTGAGACAAACGAGACAAGGAAATGTGGAATCCATCATACCGGTAGATGGCGTTACGTTGTTTAGATTGAGAATGTCATCAATTTAGTGAAGACAGTTAGTGACTGACAGAGACTTACTGCTACAATATTGCTCATTCTTGCTGTCTGGTGAAAAACTGATGTTCTAGAAATTGACAATTTTAGAGAACCCTCAGTCTGAGAAAACAAGTCGTCAGAACTTGTACATATGTAATATTTGTGTAGCAAAGTCAAATGAAAATCTTTGGGGCATTTAAAATCTAAACAAAAATATAATGTAACACATTTGATTTCAGGGGTGAGAATGGAGGGAATGAAATATCTTCAACATAATCCCCAGAACGTTTGAAGGCCCCAGCAGGGTAGGGTCTAATTTGTGTTTGCCAAAAAACACCTGTTAAAATACCCATCCCTTTCGTCCTATATCAACTTTCGTATATAGAAACACCTCAGTGGTAAACGTATGGTTTTCTAGATTTTAAAAGGGATGGTTTAAAAAAAAACCTGGAAATCAGAACAAATGCTGACAAATCTCACCCCTTTGATTCACTGGTAATCTTCTCTCTGTATTCGAAGTGTGTATTGGCTGGTTCTTTGCAATCTTTGGTCTGATCTGACTTTATGAACTAGACCACTGTCTGTATATATATGGTTGAGTGGTAGCCAGTGAGGAGACAAATCCAGAACCAATCATAAACACTGGTCAGCCTTGATTTGAAATAAGTGAAATAAACTGAAAGTGAAAGTAGACAGTAATTACCATGTCTCATAGCTTTCATGTCTTTTGACGTGTGCTTTACCATTATTTTCCCACTGAGGCTCGGCGCATCTGCCATTCCTGTACATGAAGTACAAAGTGACAAGTGTTGTCGTACGAAATGTTCTATAAAAAAGGTAAAATTGCAACATGTTACATTGGTAAAGCTTGTAAATAAGCAATGCAGTCTTGTATGGATGCATGGAAAGGTGGGTTTGGTTCCATTTAAAAAAAAAATTGTGGACACTCGTATACAAACTTGAACACTTTTAAAACTGAAATCTGTTATAAATAACAGATTTTGAAAATCCTAATTTCCTGAATTTTTATATTGTTATTTGTTTTTTTCACTTCTCTAAGAACACAGTCCTGGCTTTAACAAAATAACTTTGGTCCCTGGTAACTTTGTAATAACCAGAGTCGACTGTAGCGTACCATATGACCCCTTTAATTCAAAAAAGTTTTTAATATATCCAAGATGAACGATGAATTACCGCTGTAAACAAAAATTCTGTGCTTTTCTTTGAGTTAGAGTCTTAATTTATGGTTCAGCGTGTGAGTTTCTGCCAGTTGTGGCCGCTGGCATACTTACATTGTTAATGCCACACTTTGTTCTGTGCAAACTACGGAGTAGCCTCCTGGATAGAGCTTTGGTCAAATATCGTCTGACGTTCTGTTCTCATTTTTCCCTCTTTATTTTCTTCATTAAAACTTCCAGATACAACAAGGAAAAGCACTTACCGTTGGGCATTCATGTTATTTAATCTGTGGAATCTGTAAATCAGAGAACTTGCCCCGAAATTCACTTTCTGAGCTGAAACGTTACTTCAATGAGCCTGAAAGACACATTTTGTTAAAAACTTGGAGAAATGCGCGCTCATGTCATCTCGTACTTTCTCCACCGTTGAGGGCGCCGTGTGGTCGTGATTGTGCTGTTTTTAGTCTAATCTAGTGCAGTCCTCCACACTACGCGGGCCACTTAGAACCGATCTTAGGAAAATGGAGTTTTTGATAGGCATACAGGGCGATGGTTTTGTCTTAGTCGCCTCAGACATGACGGCTGGACGTAGTGTATTTCTTTTGAAGCATGGTAAGTATTCGTATTAGGAGAAACGAGAGGCTTTGAATTACTTTTTTCCCAGCAATGTCACTGATGAGAACGACAATGCGTGCATTTTCGACACTAGTCATGTAGGGGGCACGCGCAATCGGCCGATTCGCACGATTACTCGACATTTGCATGATTAGTCAATCTTTTTCATGATTTGTCAATAATTTCATCATCAACCAATCGCCTCTCCCTTGTAATCTACAGTGCTGAAGATCATTTCCTAAATGGGAGCTAAAAAATAGAAATTTCATAGTCTTGACATGCTTGATCGACCAATCATCATCATGACTGTGTAGGCCTCGAGCAGTTGGCCTATCGAGCAGATCAGCTGATTGAAACCAGCAAGTACAGCACTTGCAGTGGTATTTTGGTTATCCAGACTGGCACACATGTCATTAACATGAAGTTTAGGGTTGTTTTTGAAAGAAAGTCATGAATGTTGCATCCTTGCTCCATTTTTTTCATCATGTAAGATCTCAATAAAGGTCAGTTAGTGCAGAAATACTAAAAAAAAAGACATAAGAAAATACGGCGAGAAAATTTTCTTGACTCCCTATAGAGTTTGTACACTACCGCTGAGCTAGAGCCAGGATGCAAAATTCTTTCCAATGTATGCAATAGTTACTGTATAATTTGGAATTTGCAGTTACATTGTATGTGAAGGTATTGTCTTGATTTGTTCCAATTTGTCTCATTTTCAGATCAAGAAAAGATGTACAAAATGAGCGATAAACTGCTAATGCTGTGCGCAGGAGAGACTGGGGATACTGTGCAGTTTGCAGAATACATCCAGAAGAATATCCAACTCTACAGAATGAGAAATGGTGAGATAGAAACAAATTTTCAAGTTGTGGCAATACCAGTACGTTAGGTTTTGTTACATTTTGTGCTGATTTTTGGTTTGCACTGAAAACCTAAATGCAAAATTCTCTTGATTCACCTTCACAATAGGATATGAACTCTCTCCGCATGCAGCAGCTTACTTCACAAGGAAAAATCTGGCAGATTTCCTCCGCAGCAGAGTAAGTAACTACTTCACAACCATGTTCGTCAATCATTACACACCGTTCATAAACCCTTGGGATAAGCATTCAAGAGAAGTACAAAATTCTCTGGCATTTCTTACATTGGATGTCATAACACACTTATGAAAGTAACCTTAAAAGTTTCACTTTATAAACGACCAAATTCCCTTTGTTTAGAATACATGTCTTCCAAAACCTTTCAGAAATCCCATCTTTGCCAGAACAGAACTCAGTGGTGTATTTGTATGTACTGTTACGTATTGGAGAAACAAGTTTGATGTAAAGTAACAGCAACATTTCCAGCAAAAATGATTCAAGGAGTAAGGGTTAATTGATGGATAATTGCCTACATAAGAAATGTAGACAGAAATACAGTACATTAATATCTATGATGTGTGACCTAGACCCCCTATGCAGTCAACATGCTTCTGGCAGGCTACGATGACAATGAAGGGCCTGCACTTTACTTCATGGACTACCTAGCATCACTCAACAAGGTCCCCTACGGAGCTCACGGCTACGGTGCAATGTTCACACTCAGTATCATGGATAGGCTATATCGGAAAGGTAGGCTACCAGACCGTGATAATCATTAGGGAGTAGAGTCTAACAGAAAAGGGGGCGTACACCGTTCTAGCATTTTGGTTCTCTTTGTGGCAAATGTGAAGTGTGATATAAGCACAGGAATGTAACATTTCCTTGAATAAAGCTAATTTTTTTTTGTACTTGCCATATGCTTACTTCATTACAAAAAAAATTACTTTTAGTAAGATTTGACTCATTTGTTCATGTCCACAGATCTGAAACAAGAGGAGGCCCTTGATATCCTGAAGAAGTGTTTAGCAGAGGTTTGATAATTGTGGTTTATTCAACCTTTGAATCCTAGCCATATCTGCAAGATATATGCAGAAAGCAATATATTTACCACATGCTTTATATTTGACAATTCACTGTTTTTAATTTCTGTTCTTTTTTTAGGTGCAAAAGCGGTTTTTGATCAACCTTCCGGCATTCCAGGTGAAAGTTGTCAACAAGGATGGAATTCATGACCTGCCGGTCATAACAGCAAAGTCCCTCTAAAGATTTCACCATGAAGAGATATTTAATTTACACTGTGTTCTCTGTGCCGTCTATGTGCACCTGCCAGTTTCTCCCAAATCAGACAAGAGGTTTTGGAGGATTTTGCTGTGTTGAGGAAGTTGAGGTCAAACCACTTTCACTGTACTTAGGACTTGTTACTGTTTGAAAAACCCAGTGCAAAGACTCTGTCTTGTCCAGATCCTACCATGGAATGGTTTTGAAGGACTGGGGAAAGATTCTATCAAACATGCCCAGGAACATTGGGTTTAATGTTTGGACGTAGAGGATGACATGTCAACCTTGAGGCAAATCTACCATTCTGTGATCAAAATGCAGGAGCCACACATATTCTTGTTTTGTAATCTATATACATTTGATTTATATCAAGACTCCTCCAGCAAGCATTATGCTGTCCAAATCCATATAATGTGTGTAAACCATCTCAATTGGGAATCAACCAGACGACAAGGCAAACCTCATTAATGCTTGCAGAAAAATTCTTTTGTACAATGTTGAGCAATCCACCTCCCCAAGCAGGAAGAAGTTTAACACAGAATTTTGTTAGGTTAGCATTATATACGAATGTGTAGTACTTCTCAAGAATAGAAGATTATGATTTAGAGTCCAAATAAAGGATGGAAATAAATGGAGCATTTTGCTTGGAGTTTTTGTTACTTGAAATTTGAAATGTATGGGTTTACATGAGGCATATACAAAATATCCATAGAAGGAATCTAGGTTGTGTATTCTTCGTCGTTTTCCTCTGAACATTTTAATGGCATGTTGGGTTGACCATTTAAAGAAAAGTTCTGCTTTCGACTTAATTTTGCTAGGTACAGAATGTGTACAGAGATGTATTTGAAGTAGAAAGTGTTTTCCCTTTAAAAATGTGTCAAGTTGACTTCTCAAACTGTGAAATGGCTTGCTTGTTTTTACCTCTAAATGTGTATGGCAAAGTAATAAAGAGGTGACACATTTTGTAAGAAGTTTGATGAAGTTTTATTCTTTATTTCCTGTTTAATGAATTAGATTTTATGAAAAAAAATTTGAAAAACTGAGTAAATCAGTAAAAGGTGCTCCACATTTTGTTTTGTGCATTTAAAATCCATAACAAGAAATGAGCCAATTACATTCTTTGAGATAAAATGCAATAATTTCTATCCGAAATGAGGTCTACTTTGGGGTCGTCGGTGGATGGAATTTGGAATTTCGATCCACCAAATGGTTGTATTTCCGTGCGCGAGCTCATTAATATTTTGTGATCCCACGGGTATTTTTTTATAATAAGACATACCACAATCAGGAGGGATCGTATAAATATTTCTATAAATACCGAATTTGGGACTGATACTTTCCAGTTTGGGGTATTTCTTTCACAAAAAGCCCCGGCTACATTCAGAACTGAGCGAATAGTTTTGCCACTATATTTGGGGTATCTTCGGGGAAAGGCGAATAAAATTTTTTTTCCTGGCTAACCCTCATAAAATTGAAACGAAAAGTGATCTTCTGGCCATAATCTTGAATTTCCAGTGGAAAAAAACGGAGGCCAAGCCCTTCACCAGAGTCAACAGGCGGCGCTATTTCGGTCTGATTTTGCACTGTTTTCTAATTCTGTGGGCGCATATTTGATGACGACTGCAACCTTATCACTGTTAATTGCAAATAGCGCCCCCAAGAGTTTGGGACTTCGTTATTTGCATGTGTGTACGTACGATCGGCGAAAATGAAGGACATTTCGGGCTTTTTGGCGGAGCAGCAGCAGAAAAGCAACCCAGAAATCGCTGCAGAATGGGTGGAAATGGAAGACATGTATAATAAAAAGTAAGTATTCAAGTCTGTAGTTCATTTGACACAGGCGTTTACTTATCAAAACCTTTTTCGCAAACGTGATGTGTGAGTCAGCATTGCCCAATGTAGTCCAGTTTCCGGACACCAAACAAAGACAAGAAGAGGAGGAGACTTGGGGAAACGTTCATTTTTGTTTCATTCATTAATCTAACCTTATTATCAGTGGACCACTGTTGAACTGGATGTGAAAAGCAGTTGAAAACTCTGATCAATATGTAACTGCTTTATTGACTTTCATTTTCTCTGAAGTTGGCTTCCGGGGACTTAAAAACGTCCCATCTAGGTACCTGTGTAGTAATGAGCCGGGTGAATCATTCAGGAATCTATTCAGCAATTTAGAATAAAGAGGATGAGAAATAAACCCAATACAATTCCATTCACCATGGACAATTAAACATACATGCAGTCAACATTAAGTGAATACCGTAGGGTTTTCTATAACTCCATGCCATTTTGGGAACCCCTCTCTTCACATTTTAAGAGGCTTGTAACACACTCGAACAAGGATTTGTCCAAGTGGAAATGGCACGAAGTGGGGTAGGGGAATGTGGTAAGGAGCAAAGTGGAAATGAGGCGAAGTGACTGTAAAGCTCCAGAATCAATCAAATCATGTTAATCTTGTTTGATAGTACACGTGCACAAGATCATCACATGAGTGGGGGAACGGCAGTGCATCACTCCCAACAAGAAAATGAACAAGTCTTTCAGGAGAGAGTTCCATACATGTAAATGTATATGGAGCCAGTAATTATTCCCTACAGTGACTTATTAGCCGTCAGAAAGTACAAACATGTTCAGAAAAGTTCAATTTAGGATAGGAGGGAAAATACCAAGCCATTTATTTCAAAAACACCTGGAATCTTTCAGACCAGTCTCATAGAGCTTGTGCAAGTCAATTGGCACCCATATGTGGAACTCTTTCCATCTTTAGGCTTAGCATTGTTCGAATATACTGCTCTGTGAATCGGTTCTATGCGAAATCATAATCTTTAGGCCTGCTGTCTCTCTTCGAAAGAATCTTCCAGAACCATGAATTAGAAACAAATGAGTTGGGTTGATTGGCTGATGGCAGAAGGATCCGGAACAGGTCAACTCCTGCTTGTGCCAACTCGTACACCGACCAACTCATATGAGGTTTGGTTAACCCGTGTGCCAACCAACTCGTTTGCAGATTTCATCCCCCCCCCCAACTCAGTTGTGCCAGGCTCGATTGTTTCGAAACTTAAATGCTTTATAAACAATTCCTTATCATTACAAATACGATGATTGTTCAATACAAATGTTTGATTTCTATCAGAAATATGCTTTTGTTGTTACAGTCATTTGAAGTTCAAGCAACACGTTTGTCATCCACTGACCACTACAGCGGAGAATACATGTATTTTGGCTGACCCGTCTCAGAAAAATACATGCTGCACCACAACAGCATGTCCGACTTCACAAAATTGGAGTCAAAATTACCGCAAAGAGTTACTCTAAATATTCCTAAGGGCTCAGCTCCCGAAAAAAAATGCACTGCAGCGATATCAGAAGAAAATCTGCAGGGGCGGGTGGATTTCTACCCAGCCCTCTAAGGGTTAACGGTCGTACATATATGGACAATATTGTCAGGGCAGCAACTTTCTGGGACTTCTCACTGGAGCATCAACAATCACTGTATTATGCAATCACCTATAATTGGTAAGTGAACAATAGCATGCGCATCGGACGGATCGCCTGTCACCCAACGTCGTGAAACATCTAGCCATTAAATGGGAGTCAAGGGCCAGTTTAATACTCAGTGCAAATGCGCCAGTACAGTCACCATGGAGATACATGGTCACACCAGGCTAGTATACTCCCCAGGGAGTTGAGATGGTTTCAGGAATGTTCAGATGATGTGGGAGCCCAATGTGCAGGGGTAATGATAATACAGTACCTCGGAATAGTTTGCTAGATAGAGGGCGCTTTACAAGTGCTTGTTATTATTATAGTATAATTGCATCAAAGACATTTTCCGCAAAAAAAGGGTGCTTTTTATTCCTGGCATGTAATGCAGATGCCTTTCCGGAGTTATGTTATGTTATAGGTTATTGCGTTCGCTTGGGTAATGTTCCATGCTAGATACTTATACTACAATTTGGTACATTGTAAACGAGTTGGTTGGTGTACAAGTTGGTCTATGTACGAGTTGGTCTACGTACGAGTTAGTCGGTGTATGAGTTGACCAGCATTCGATGGATCAACAAATCATGACACAAGATTTACCCACAGAGCAGTGATCATCCATGCAGATCAACAAATCCTGCCCAGCAAAATGGGTAACATCCATCACGTCTCTTACTGTTACTGTTACAATTGCTTTCAGGTTCACTTTCCTATCGACAGCTTTGCTTCCTCACAGATCTTCATCACTACTTCAATGAAAAGCTCTGAAAATAATACTCAAGCAGTACATGTTTGAAATTTACTTGTAGGCCTCTGTACCCACACGTACAAGTAAAAAAAATCTTTACAAATCTAAAACTAAGAAAAATCTAAACTTTTTATTGAATTTGTTTTCTCTGAAGGCTGTGGCACCAGTTAACGTTGAAACTTCTCAAGTTTATCAAGAACCCAGTCTTTGCTGAAGGAGATGGCTTACTGCAGGTATGTACGAAGAGTCGTCAATAGAAAAATGACCTCATTTATGAAACAAAAATCTGTTTCATCACCTATTTAGTGAAGCCTCCCTAAACAAATCCCCCTGCTCGCTTTTCTGGTTTTAACCAACTGACCAGCTTGAGCAGTCATTGTGGTTGGATTGGTAAGACAGCTGAATTGTGGGGTACTGTCCCAGCAGTGAAACCACAAGTCTTGTGCTGGACTCACACTAGAAAGGGGGAACCCTTCAGAAGATCGGGCACGCTGTGGTTTATACTCACCTGCATTTGTTGAGTACTGCACAGCCCCCTTACCTGTCATCTACCAATTGATCACTGGTACAATTTCTGTCTCCCCTCTTCAGCTCTATGAGAATTTCTTGAGTGACTTTGAGCATCGGATCAATCCATTATCCTTGACAGAGATGGCCATCATTATTGTCAAACAGATCAAAGGTAACTCAGAATCCTGTATGATACCAGGACCTATATTTCTCAGTTCTCTCTAGTGGACCGTTGATATTGGATGTGATCCTTAGTTATGCAGTTTCGTAATGTGTTGATTTTTCTCACACTTTATAGAGGGATTTCACTCTGTACAGAGCTGTCTTTGTTGTCCAATTGGACATTTTACATTGTTTCTTGCCGTACATCTTTGACCAATTTCAAGACTGTAACTATTGTACTGTCTGCATTTCATCACCAAAAGTGACGGTCAATTGCCAGGCCTGTAAAAATCATGAACAGAGCTGCCATTCGTCCATGCCAAACCAGACCCCAAAAGACTAAAACTGACAATATTCTTGATCAAACCATATCCCAAAGTAGTAAGTGAAGAGAGTATTCAGCCACCACCTGAGACCTCGAGCACAAAGTCTGTCAGCCATGAGAGAAAAAGTCTATATATTTTTCTAGAAAACTTAGAATTTTGTCACTCCTGAATTAGTGTCAATCCTCATTGGGTAGACACCTTTTCGTAGTTTTCAAGTTATATTAAGGAAGCTAAATATTGGCCAGATATGGAACTCTTCCCCACTTCCAGTAACTACCATTTTGTAGATAGTTAGTATCCTGCGTTACCTTGACAAAAAAACATTAACTTAAATCCCATGCCATCTTACCCATCCCAAGCCTGACGTCGTTGACAGGCGTTGACTGAAATCTTGGTATGTGTTTGTCAGATTACCCAGATGCTCTTGCCTTCCTGGATAAGATCAAAGAAAAAGTCAAGAGCAACGAGGAGGCGGTGATCCTCTGCATGACCTGCTCGGCCATGATGAAACTAGGGGTCAATGACCTTGAGGGAACCAAGGTTAGTCTGGCACTCGTATCGTTGTTACATACCGTCACCCCACCTCCACGGGTTAAGAGGATAGCGTTTGCTTTTGATGAGTAGAGTTGTTGAAATGGGAGTTATCAATATTGATTGGTGTGATAGTGATAAATGACTTGATATGAGAGTTTGATTGTAACTACAGAGAGAATTCTTAGGAAAAGGTTGCTTTATCCAGCCCAGGAGTATCATGTGTGCCTTTTAGGGCAGAGGTGATAAACATCAATATTGAAGTCTGAAACCAGATTACCTGGTTGCATCACCTACTCTCTAGAGTTACTGCTTAGAGTTTATGTACATGTAGATCCTGGAATCACACCTGGCAATCATGGGTAACAGTGTTAAATGCTGTCCAGTAATCTTGTGATAAAAAGTGCTACGTGTGGGTTCTGACTAAGCACTTGCCAGGTCTTGATGCTTAAAAACTGGTCTGGTTCCCTGCACACAGGTTTTGGTCGAAGCGGCACAGGAGAAGTTAGACAACCTGGATGGGATCACGACGGTTCACGGCCGCTTCTATAACCTGTCTAGTAACTACTACAAGGTCATGGGAGACTACGCCAAGTACTATCGAGATGCCCTCCGGTTCCTAGGAGTGACCAAGCTGGAAGATATTGATGGTGAGTAGAACCTTCCCAAAGCCTTCGAAATCCATCCAGAGACTTCCTAAGACTTTGTAGGATTTCCATGTAAGAAGGTAGAGCCCATATTTTAATACTTTACTTGGGATCATTACTTGTTCGAAGTTCAAAGCTTTAAAAGAAGGAACAACTTGATTCTTGCACAGTGGTGGATTTGACAGTTTCAGGACAGTTTTCTTTTGCAAAAATCACCCAGAGAGGTAGTGTGAAGTCAAAGAGCCAATCTAATAAACCAACAGTTAACATTTTGAGGCTTTGCATGGTGGCCAGTGGCCACGTTGCAGGCGATTGCTTATGCTCCATAGAGTATGTACAAAGGAGGATTCCCTGTGGAACAAAGGAACTTCTGCGCACAATGGCTACCATGCAAAGTCTCTGTTGAGGCTTTTCATTTGTAGTGAATCCACTCTAGCTAGAAGGGCGCCCTCACTGGCAAAGAAGAGACAGCCTGGTGGGAAAAGTTCTTCTACCAGGTTCGCGCATGTACCCAGTCTACAATTAAAGACTGCACATTCCAACAGAAATTGTTCAGATGAACTCAACATAAACACTGTGCCCGCACACAGCGAGTTCCCACTGAAGGATGTCATTGCTATGTAAAGCATGCTTTCTTGCATTCCTAAACAGAGCAGATATATATGAAGCATGCATGTCAAAAGGTGAAGAGTTCTGTATGGTTTTCTGTTTCAGGGGACGAAAGGAAGGAGCGAGCATTTAACTTGTCCCTCGCTGCTCTCCTCGGAGAAGGGATCTATAACTTTGGAGAACTGGTGAGCGTGATGCCGACTTCAACTGATAGTGTCTAGTTTGGATGGTTACCAAATGTTGCTGCCATTTCCACGTGCTCAGAGGGACTAGGTCATGTGCTTTGTGCAAAACTTCAAATGTAGATTCTAAATTTGGGCCATCAGTGAAATGCAAAAACAAAAAAAATCTTTGCAGCTGTGACACCATCTGCATTGAAATCACTTTTTACAGCTGTTAAAGTCAACATCATCACCCACACTTCCTGTGATTAATTTTTTTTCATGAAAATTCCTGAATGCGCCAAAATCCTCCAATATGCAGGAAACCATCGGTTCATTCTTTATGTCCAAACTCTCTAGGGACGTTAGTTCCCGTGTAATGTGGTAGAGGCTGGGGGTCTGCTTTCCTAAATCCCATAGAAATCTTTCAAATCCGCCTGGTGACTATTTGGAGAATCTTGGAAGGTTTGGAATACGGGTAGCTTTGACGACTGTTCTTGTTCCTGGCAGCTTGCACACCCTATCCTGGAGTCTCTAACAGCCTCCAACAAGAAGTGGCTGGTCGATTTGCTGTATTCATTCAACAGCGGCAACCTGGATCAGTTTGAGTCTTCGTCAGCCGTCTGGAAGCAGCAGGTGGGTTTTAGATTATCGTATTTAGTTGTGATTATTGAAACACTCATCAACTATACAGAATACGGGCTTGATGAATCCAGCAATGCTTTCAGCACTTACTGTCACAGATTTGTGCATTTGAAACTTTTGTCTAATGTTGCTATGACTTCAGCTAGGAAATGAATTTGTGTTCTTGAGCAGGAAACTTTTTAATTGTTAAGTTGTGAAGTTTGTACATTCTTCAACCTACATTTCCTGGTCTTTAGGATCCTTACCAAATCCTCCACTCTGAAAGAAACCAGTGGCACATTCATCATTTTTAGGTCAGTCTCAATCCCGCCAACACAATATTTCATGCACTTAAGGGGGGTCATCATTAAATTTTCACAAGGCTGAGAGGGTTGAAGCCCCATGTAAATTGTACAAAGCTAAGTGATTCAGCTCTGCCCTCCGTTGTACTTAGTTTCCCAAAGCCACTATTGGATTTTTGATAGGATCTTGGAGCATCATGGTGCATTTTTTGTCACATTCTGCACTCCATACAGCCTGACCTGGCAGTCAACGAGCTGCCGTTACGACAGAAGATCTCCCTTTTGTGTCTGATGGAGATGACCTTCAAACGACCTGCCGACAATCGCAGCATCTCGTTTGAAGAGATTGCCCAAGAGGCCAAGCTACCGTTGAATGAGGTAGGGCCTTAATTCACAACTTGGCAAATTTCCCTTTGATAACCAATTCTAACCCTTCAAAAGTAATTTTTACCCTTGGGGATTAAAATGCTTGCACCATAAACTGAGTACTACGCACATTGAAAGGGAAAAGATTCATTGTATACTACAGAGAATTCCGATGGAGTATATTCACAATAAGACAGCATATTCTAACATCTTTGGAGAGTCCTATTTCTTCACACTTCCAGGGGTCCGTTGCTTTTTGTTACATCTACGATAATTTCTCACAGGTTTGCCACCTTTGATTGATATCGGGCAAACATGTCCAAATCAGTATGTTGTGGCTGTGGCTTTGATGTCATTAGTAGGCCATGAGGGATAGTCTTAGCCACAGCCACCAGTGCCATGTTGAACATGGAGGCATCAGAAATGGAGGTTCGACAAGGACCATGGGGAATGTATGACTGAGGAAATAGTGGATCCGTTATGGCTAGTAGAAGCAATCCTTGTCTTTGAGGGTATTCAGTAATAAACTGAGCCTCTTCCTGGATGTGAGGAGTCATTATTTTGAGTGTCCTGCCCCAACAGGTTGAGATTCTTGTAATGAAGGCATTGTCCCTGGGTCTGGTCAAAGGATCCATCGACCAGGTGGAGCAGAAAGTTCACATGACATGGGTACAACCAAGGGTGCTCGATCTCCATCAGGTATGCCGACACAACTGTAGAAATGCAAAGTTATTGATAAGAAAAGTATCGTTCTCCAAAAACGTAGCCTACTACTGGTGTGCCACCTTTCAATTCTGAGCCGTCTGATTGTCATTTCTTTTCAGCCGACTCAAAGAAAACTGTTCATTGTAGTTACCTAGTGTTTGTTAGAAAACACTTCCTTGCTTACAATGTTAAAACAAGTAGCCCGCAATGGATCATGTGCTCCCGCGAAGTCACGTGACCTATAGTGGGTATCAAACATCAACAAAACCCAGAGCAAAGTGTTTTAAGTGTTGTTTTCAAAATTTCAAACTGATTATTGGTGTACTACCTAGCACATCAATAGTCTGTGTAGTATTTCACTGACCATGGCATCTGCTTCAGTTTTTGATAAATGATACTTACGACACAGTTCAATATGGAGGACACCTTGTTTGTTGATGTTTGATACACAATACATGCGACTTAGCGGGCACCATCGGTCTATTTAGGCCAAATAGAGGACTTGACATTTTGTGATGTATGCTTCTGTTGTCACAGGGTGGAAGGGTTTAACCTTGGGTTTCTCTGCCATTTTCACAGATCGTCACAATGCAAGATAAATTACAACATTGGTGTCGGGACGTCAAGAACATGCAGATCTTATTGGAGGACAAAGCCCATGACATCATCGACAGGATGTAAATACCAAGAATCCAGGCAGTTCACTCGAAAATGTTTTTAATTACAGGCGTATGCCAGCAGCCTGGGGCAGGTTACACCTCCCCCCCCAAAAAAAAAAACACCAGAGACTTGCTCTCCCACAAGACACAGGATGCCTGGGGGAGAACGCCTATTCAGGTGCACACCTTCAGATCTGTAGAAAAGTCAAGGCGAGAACACCTATTCAGGTGTACACATTGAGATTTATAGAAAAGTCAAGGCGAGAACACCTATTCAGGTGTACACATTGAGATTTATAGAAAAGTTCCGGCAAGAACACCTATTCGGGCATACACCTTGAAGTCCATCGAAAAGTCAAGGCAAGAACACCTATTAAGGTGTACACCTTGAGGTCCATCGAAAGGTCAAGGCAAGAACACCTATCCAGGTGTTCACCTTAAGGTCCATCGAAAAGTCAAGGCAAGAACACCTATTCAGTTGTTCACCTTGAGGGTTCATGAAAAAAATCAAGGTGTGAACACCCTTAAGACCCATGGAGAAGAAGATAAGTACATTTGTGACAATTACTGAAAGGCTAGGTTTTTGCAACTCCCAAACAATTTGATTCTCTCTTATAAACAAATTAAACTTTGGTGCACTGGCGTTGATGTCACTTTATTGCAGCAATTCTAAAAAGCATGCAGTTGTAAACCTGAGCCATTAAGCCCATTCTGCCTAAATAAGTTAGTTAAAAAATTTGGCCCTTGATCAATAAGCCATTTGCGAGTTAAATTTGGGTAAAATGTGGTACACAAAGTTCTTTAAATTCACATGTAAAACAACTTGAATTCTCCATACTATAACGACTGTTGATATACCTTGTGATTCGGGGCAAGCTTTTGCTTAGTTGCATAAGAGACGCCTTGCAACAATACACTGTGCTCAATGGATAAGAACGGCACAAAGGAACCAATCCATTCCAGAGATGGTGGTCGCAATGCAAAAGCTTTCCCCGAAGCACGAGGTATAGCAACAGTGTCTTTAGTCTGGGGAATTCAAATTGTTACGTTTCTGTGCAATCAGATAACACAGTGTACCAGATTTTATTCAAATTTAACTCGCAAGTGCTTTATTGCACACTACCATTTTCACCTTCATGTGAAAATGTTAAGAAGGCTCAACTAACATTGTACAAGGAATGCTGTCTTAAAAGATTGGCATATATAGTTCACATATAACATAGAATGCAAGGTCATATTTTTACCACTTTTGACATGCACGAAGTGTTATGTTCATTTCACAAACATGACTGTTCCAGTCTCAAACATGCACAATTCCCAAAAATGACCTGTTTTGAACAAGTTATTTTCCACTTCAAATGTGTTCCGATAAAATGCAGCCATAAAGATACTATTGCATTCTCTTGACTGTTTACTTCAGTATCAAGCCCCGTCAAAATACTGTAATTCCATGCACAGGTTTAAGAAGAATATACATACGCATGCATAGAAATATCTACTGGGTTGGATGTGGATTGTGCTGACAAGGCATCTTTGTAGGGGCGTCGGTTTGAAGTGGCATTAAACACCTGCACATTGCGTGCCATGCACTACTGCATTTAACATACTCGTAACTTTTGCACAAAAGATAAATCTGAACAATATTCTGCAGGTAAACGTAGTAAACCTGTGCTGAAGTTATTGTCATTCCTGTTTGAAAAGATACATTTGTTTGTAAAAAGTAGTAATAAATATTTCATTTTGATGAAAAACGTCAGGATTTTGTCTTGTCTGACTTCCCCTTGTATCACTGAGTGCTTCGGCCCCAGCAAAGCAAACAAAAACCAATTGTGTGTAGATTCTCAATTATTAGATACTAATTATTTATTGAAAAAGCAATTGAAAAACATGATTATTAACTTTGACTCGACTGAAAAAGTGGGCTTGACTCTTAATCCTTCACAATGCAAAACAAGTTTTTCTTAAATATGAAACTTTAATGGACCTGACTTACCTTTGGTTCATCTGTAATTATAGGTGTTATTTGTGTGAGTGTATGTGTGGAAGGGAGACACGTGGTCAGCAAAGTTCAGATAAATTTTAGCAAGGACTTGAGTGCACTGCGCTAAGGCCCATTCCTTAAAACTAACTCAAGATATATCCCAGTTTTGGCCATTCCTAACTTTGCAGTTCCTGCCACTGTACATGTGGAGTCCAGCCAAATGAGTCATTGCTTTGATATAGAGCATCACCATGTACATCAAGGTAAAAGCCAGAGACTTTTCATTAGGTCCAATGGACTGCATGTGATTTCAGAGCAGGAAAGAGAGCTACAGTCGGAGACAGGGCTGACTTTCGTCAATAGGCCCAGTGGCTTGTGTAACGCCATTTCCTTACTTGTTTTTAAGCTGAGATTCTAACCGTCTCACATTCAATGTTATTTCCCTCTTCCTGCCAATCAACTGGTTCAACTCCGTCGTCTTGACGGAAACACCGATACATAGTGCTGCCAGCCCCAACACGACAAGGGCCAACAGCGCGACGAGCGCCCCGCAACGAGCGTAAACGCTGGTCTGCCAGTGGAATGCACCACTCAGCCAGAGAGATGCCAGTAAGAGGAAAAATAGGAGGGAAACCAGGAGGTAGCAGAAGCGCTGCCGTGTGATCTTTTGGATGGAATCACTGAGGTATGGAAGCATTTCCAATAGGACACCAAGACGGCCCTCCTCGTCTGAAGGTTCTAGAACTTGGTCATCTGTTGGGGCAAAACAACAATTTGCTGTGTGGTAATAACGTCATCCTGTCAACCTATTCAAATTAAATGTTTCAAAGCCTTTCTTTTTGTTTTTAAGCTGATGCAAATTTCCATGCTCATGAGCAAATGATGCCATTCAGTGGGAAAATTCGCTATTGCATTGAAATGGATACCCCCAATATGCAAGAATGAGCAAATTTGGGGTTCAAAACTGGAACACAAAAGCCGATAATCTGAACTGTGTCTTCCCTGAATGACGTCACGGCAACAGCGCCCTCTGTTGTCTGGAAAAGCATTGACAGTTTTCAATGTTTTAAACAGTGCATTTTTAAATACTCTCAACCCCAAAGAAATGTCAAGCAGTTTTCAGACATGGAAAGAAGAGTTTAAGGTTGCTACAAATGTGTGTCTCGGGAAACTTCATAGCCTCGACCCTTTGAGTTGCAGCAAAATCTCTAAAATTTTAAAAAAGGAGGACTCACCTCGTCCCTTTTCAAGTTCGAAGAGTGCCTCGACTCCGTCATGGTCCGAGTAGTTGATGTCCGTTCCTGGGATTTTCTTGAAGGTCAGTCTGCAGTCCCGGCAGGTCACGCAACATGATCTCGGCTTGGCATTGTACAAGATGTAGTCAATACGCATGCCCGGGTGCTGAGGATAGAATCTGGTCTTCGTCGACGTGTAGCAATTATCGGGGGCTTCTACTGTACAGCATGGCTCATCCTGAGAGAGGAAAGAATTCCAAAAGAAACCTCCATGGAAGTGATTCTGTGGATTGTACTGAACGAAAATAATCAAGAAAGTTATTAAAAACAGACCGGAGACAGTACATCTTTACCAGCTCCGGTCGACACTGAAAGCCACAACTTGTCATACTTTTCATATCAGGCAAGGACAGAATTTATTGCCAGTGACCAGATCCCTCTCATGAATTAATTTACTGAAAGTCCCGACCACATATATCTTTATTCAAACTCATCGTAATGAGCCCTGAGCTGGACCAAGAGGGGGCACAATTTTCCTAGCAACACTGGCTCCTTTGGTCAGAATTGCACTTCGCCAGTGCAATAACGACTATGAAATGCATGCGTTATGGTCGCGTTGCTACCAGGTAAATTAACACTCTCAACCAACCGGCTCTGTTAAACTGATGAGGGGATGCTTCTGCTCGAGGCAGACAGACTTGACAAAACTGATCAGACTTCTGTGAATACATACAATGCCAAGGTTGTATGTCCATGTATGCCGAAAGTTCCACCTACAAATGGCTTTCTTGATTAAGTTTAATCTATTTAACCTATGACCTTTGCATTGAGTGTAACACACTGATATTAACTATGCGATGTGCAAAAAAAAAACTTGCACCCATGACAACCACATGTAATTTAGACGTGTGTTATCATTAGTCATAGCCGAATAATTTGAACACAGCCGTACCTTGCACTGATTTGGACGATCCAGCCAAGCATCTTGGAGGTCTGCATTGACCCTAGCGACCTTCAACCCCAAGGAGTTATCCTCCGTGTTGAAGTCGCCGGTCACCACGTTCAGGTCACTGTTGGTGCCCGTAAATCGCACAAACTTGCTGAGCTCGTAGCCTTGCAGGAGACGATGAGTAAAGTGCTCATCTGCCGAAAAGACATTGGAGGGTGCGTACATCGCTGTGTTCTAAATGAGGAAAAGAAAACAATTACATTTTACATATAGAAACCATTGATTTTACAATAACTCTTACAAATATGACATACAGTCTTTTATGGTTTTTTACATCTTTTCCAAATCATTATTTTGATTGACTTTTTAGACTTTCTTCGACACAAGGCACACATGCATTTTTAACTTAATATCCAATAATGCCCGCAGTCATGGTTACTTCAAAGCTATAATATGATAACAGTATCTTTTGCAAATAATTGTTGACCAGCTTGCAAAATATGGTACAAAATACGATATGTATTGTAGTTGCTTGATTCACTTTCAACATGGGTGAAGTTGAGGGTTGGTCAAGGGTTCAACAAGTCCCCCCCCCCAGTTGGGCAGATGACAGGTGCTATTTTGCCCTAAAAGTTAATGACGCATGAATAGTTGACAGCTAGCCTTTAACAGCCAAACTATACCCTCTGACACAGGTTCCCTGGTACCCCTATCAATTTTTCACTCAGGGCCTAAGGCTAGCATCACACCCTAATCATGGACAAGAACCCTCCGCCTGTAGGTTCACTTTCAATGCCCTGATTGGACCACATTTTTGAGTCTCAGAGACTCACATGGGTCGTGTAGACGTTGACGGTGAAATCGTCCACTTGAATCACGCACAGTCCGACTCCTTTGCCCCCAAACCAGTCTCCTTCCAGAATGCGATAGGCATAGCTGTTCAGTGAGTAGCCATGAAACAGTGTGTCTACTATGGGCCACTTGGAAAGGATGCACATGCCACTTCCGAGAAATCCGCTGGAAAATAAACCAAATCCTTCAGTTTAGTTAATGAAGTTTTTGTTTAAGCCTTCAAAATCTCCTGTCCAAGTATCTCAGGAGTTTGAAACAGTCACAGACGTCAGGTCCAAGTTAAAGTCATTTACTCAATGTGCCAATATAGAAACCAGTAATCCAGCAAAGTTCTTACGAGTTTTTCGGTTGCTGTCTTAGGTATGTATTCACAGTCTTTACATGGCTGATGTATACGCTAATGTGACTGCCTCACCTATGGAAATAATGATGGTAGGGCAGAACATCTTTTGCCTTGTCGCATATCTGTTTGTAATCTTTCTCCATCCAAATCTATGGGCCAAAAAAATCAGAATAAGACATAAATCACTCTAAAGTATTGTGACAAAAATGCACTTTTCTTTATTCATCCCAAGTTGGCAGGAATCATTGCTGTGTGTTTGACAGGAACGAAGTGGAACGTGTAATTTCAGTGATTTTTCAGTGGACAAGTCAAACATTATCAGCCGCACAAACTTACATGTACCAAGAATGCCAACTGTTTACAGAATAATTCCATCATAATGTGTAGAAGCCGTCCATTTTAACTCTTGTGCTATTTAATGTGTTGTTTCTTTTAGATTACTCGTATTACATGCTCAGTGTCATTGAATTTGCCCATTGTATATGCGTGCCTAACATTTTACACACAAGTTAACAAATGCATGTTCATGTACTCAGCGCTTTCGGTGGGGTGACTTCATTTGCATACCTGCGGCGCGCACTTTTAGCCTATCAACATACGCGTGCAGTTTTCAGCCCTGCCGAAAATCTATAAAAGGTGAGCCTGCATCTCTGTTCAGCCCTGTGGGAAGAAGCGATCCGGCACCAGGAAGAAGCAGGAAGACGATGACGAACTAGAAAGAAGGGTTATGATGATAGGGAAACAGACGAAAAGCAGTAATGGGCCAAGTAGAGACACGAAGAGGCCTGAAGAATTGAGGTTTATAATAATTGTACTGATGGCCGTGTAGTGAACATGGCCACGTACAGACAGTAGACTGGCTACCAGTCTTAATGGCTACACGCGCAGTCGCAGCAATAATCCTGAGGCTTAGAATAAACAAAGGAGCGTATGCAAGCGGAATTCACCTCACCTGACAAAGAAGAATCCCCTGAACTTGAAGGATGATTTTGGATGTAAATAAATCAGAAGCATTATTGAGATTTCTAGAAATATTTCTCCACAGTCTTGTGAATTGTCTGTCTTAGGGTTTCCGCCTCAGAATAAAGGTTTAGGATCAGACTTTAGGACAGACACAGATTGTTCCAACTGCTCAATTCCAACTTTTCCCCTCGCGTTGTGCACCAAGCATCCTACCCCTCCCTTCCCGCTTTCCCATCCATGAAGTCTACCGGGCTTTCACGTGAAGACCTGTCCTCTTAACAAGTGTGTGGCGACATCATCACTGCTGTGGGTGAAAAAGGTAGCTCAGAAAGCATCACCGATTCCTCCAGGTTGATCCTGGTGGGTTAATTTTAGGGATTTGTTAGTCCCAATGCAGGTCAAGTCCCGTATACCCGTTACAGTATGTAGAAGTGTCTTTTGGTAATTTCATCAGCACCACTTTCATGGAAATGATTCATTTACTTGATTTATTTGTTTCCTTATGATCTTAATTTTGTTTGTTGGTTTTTGTTTAGTGCTATACTTTTAGTGTTACATTTGAGACCTGCGACACAAGGCCAAGAAACAACTGCACAGTTTTAAAATTTGGATGGCACACTGACTGTTTTTACGTACCAACACAGATGTTTTTCTACTATCCAGACTACTTTACAAAGTTTATTCTCGATGAATTTTCAATTGTACAATTAGAAAACAGTGCACTTCCAATCAGCTTGTGTTGGAGGCATACAGAGAGACGCTCAAAGGGTTAAACTACCACACCTGCCCTGAGTCACTGCCAGAGGATGACTGACTGGCAAACACAAAAAGTCTGAGAAGTCCTTGGAAGTAAATCGTGTAATGAACTTGAACTTGGCTGCCATGCAGGACCTGCTATCAGGCAAATATCCCTCAGTGGCAGGGTGTCACAGCATTTCAAAATCTGAGATTGCCGGAGGAAAAATCGTGCAGAGTTTGTTCCGATGACTTTGGAGAGTCATTTTGTAGTGTTTCAATATTTAGAAAGTTCATTGCGATATCTTGCCTCTTTTTCAGGTTTGTTGTTTTGGCAAAATGATATGTCCCAAAGGGTTTTGATATCTCACCTCTTGTAATGTAACCACATCATAGCATCCTTTAGCTAGCTCATCTCCAAGACATCCAATTCGTTTCTCACGGTGACTGCTAACATACATCAAGCCCCTATTGAAAAGCAGTCAGTATCAATAGAGCTTTAAACTCAGTCACCATCAGCAAAAATTCCAGGCAGAATAATTTTCACCATTTTTTTTTTGGGGGGGGGGCATTGTCTGGAAATGAAATGAAAAATAACGGCTAGAAATGCCCTGAATACTAACACCCTCCACCTGGAAGTGAGCATAAGGAACTTAGCACTTTTTTTGGGGGGGGGAGACAGGCAGAAACATTCTCCAAAACAAAGGCAGTATATTTCTTAGTCTCTATTTGTAGGGCTTATTTAAGTAAAGGTGCATGCATAATTTCTTACGTATTTTGGAATCAACCGAGTGTATCTGACCATGAACTGGTACCCTGATTTGGCCATGGCTATTGCTGGAAGGTGCAACATTCAGGAAACAGTCACCAGCATACACGTGCACACTGTGCAGGCCCAATGTATGAACAGTGGACTTGGATGGACTGCACGTCTGCCCTTCATCATGTAGGGAGTCTAACACCTTTTGCATTTTTCAGGAATCAACCAATAAATTTTGTGTCATTGGAAAGCTTATCAAATGACGATTACAATGGTACTAATGTACAGTTCTGGAACTTCAAGTAGGTAAACGAAGTGACCATACAACGTTGAATTCGTATGCAAAATCACACAGATCGCGCAGCTCAGACCGACCACTTCAACGAGTTCATGATCTTACCAGCAATTCAACGTCACAACACGGATCTGCCTCTTTTCCTCCTTCCATGGTCTGGCCATCTTAGCGATTCTGATGTCTTTCCACCCAGAAAAAAACCTGTGATTACCCCAAACTGAACTTCCAACCTCGATTTCTACAAAACACAAAGCAATTTGCACTGCACTAGCACTGTCCACATACAGCATGCACTGCGTGGGGCACACACGTGTACGAGTCTGTCATGAAGAAGTGCGCCCCCGATAGTCAAAACTTAGTTTTTTTTCTGTATCAAAGAGTGCCCTTCGATACTGTGCGTATATGAGAAGATGAAGACAACGTAAAAGTTCGTTATAGAATCGTAAAAAAAATTCACATTAACAGAGAATTTGTTGGTGGTATTACAGCATCAAATGGGATCTTAATAAGGCTCGTGTAAGATTCTTATTGCCTAATGTAAGTTAACTGTAACCGGGTGTTTTAGAAACAGTATGGTAGGCTCTACATCTTGTATCTTGTACTTTGTAGTACGGGGCGTGACCATTTTCAAGCAAATATTTTTGAAATAGCTTTGAAAAGAGTACAACTTAATCTAAATTCATTTAGCAAGTGTCGCCTATCACAACTCACACCTAAAGAAATATTAAACAATTATTCATAAACGCCCTATGCACTTTAATGATTCCTATTAATCGAGCGCCCATCACGTGACCGGTATCCTCTCCGAGCCGAACAAAAGAGGGCGCGTTTTGGGTACTCACCATCGATCTCATCACAAAATGCAGGGCCGAACAATGGCGGCGCTTCAGGAGGATAAAAAAATGTGATGCTGTATACTGTGCATTTCTGGTCAACATAACCTTTTTCTCATGGGATAATGGCTAAGCCCTCGGCCTCCCTCCCAAAATCAAGCCAAAAAATAAACAGAAAATGCAAGAATACCATTTCAGGAAATAACTGACCATTTTCTTATAATTAATTAACCCACTCGAAAGCGACAATGTTAACCTGTTTTAGTGTGTGTTTGTTTTTAATTCCTTTTTTACATCTATTGTCTACGGTCTCACTTTAGCAATATTTTCACATTGGGTCGGTTCAATTGTGATTTGTTCAGTGTGTAAAACTTTGAGAATTCCGCCAGGACATGCAATAGGTTTTGTCAGTAAATATGATATCCTAACTCTCCATTTATTTTTCCGTCTGGTTTCGATGAGCCAACACTGAAATAATCATCAATAAAATGATTGTAATTTTTCACACTCTCAGGAAAAATTTTACTAAATAAAATTCATTCATATATTGAGTAAATTGTATTGAAAACCGACATGCGGATACGAAAATGTGAGAATCTTTTCTGTGAGAACAAAGTGAGCGCAGCTTGAAATGAGCGACCAAACTAACTTCCTGCCGTTTTCAAACAGACACTTATTAATCAACTTAAAAAGTTGAATTCACAACATGACTTAAAGATTTACATTTAACAACTTAGCCATCATCCTATGAGAAAAAGGTCATGTTGACCAGAAATGCACAGCATACAGCATCACACCACCCTCCTGAAGCCGCCGCCATTGTTCGGCCGCGATTTTGTGCACAAACAATGCACGATGTCCAATCCAGTTGGAGATCAATGGTACGAACTAACCACATACACGCGCAAGTTTATGCGCGTTTGACGCAGAACACGCTGAGTACGCGCAACGAATATATTTTTAATGTATATTTTAATGCATTATGTTTATGTAATATGTTTAATGTATATTTTTTAACATATTTCAGAGCACTGATTTGATATTATATTCTTATCCTGTTCGTAAGTGTGACGTCAATTCAGTTCAAACCACGCCCACTGCACTGCACATAGGGTTACATGCATTGATCGCCGTTTACATGGAATTCCAGGATAACCGGAACCCTGGAACCGGAAGTTAGCGCGCAAATTCAGCGATTGTCCAATTAGAGCCTGCAAATCGTGGCGCGTCCGCCTTTGTGACGAAGTACCTTACGAACCAGATGGCCTTCGCGTGCACGAATAACGCGTGCAAGAAACTAGTAGGAAAACTTCGTAACAGCCTGTCATTCTTTCGCCGGTGAGGGTGCACTTCAACTCAGGGCGGATAATGTCTTGGGGCCGAAACTACGGCTTCTGTTGTGTAGAGCTTGGTCTGCGCCCAAAATACATAGAGATACACTTACAGTAGATCCAACCTTTTATCTTAATTCCCTGTTGATCTCCTTGAAAGCGGACATCCAACGGCTGCGCAAGTCCAAACTATTTTCAACAGTTTTCCTTTAAAAATAGGGATAAGAATTGCAGCCACAAATTCCTCAGCGAGACTAATTTCCCCGTGCGAAGCATAATGTGACGTGCGCGCGCCAGTCTGGTATGACGACTGCATTTCAAAGTTTCAAACCCTCACCGATGAAACGTGTGTGTGTGTACACTTTGAAGATGGAGGGCGCCGTTTCCTATCCAGTCTTGGAGATCACTGTTAATTCCGAAACGGCAAAAGTACCGGCTGAACGGTTCGCCACCTCACAGTACGCGCCACGCGCGAGTATGCCCAGCCAGTTCTCGTCAAAATAATGTAGACCTAAGAAAAAGATGTTTAGAAGGAAAATGGGTAGTTATATTTGTTGTCGAAGTAGGTACGGGTCTATGAACTCAGATTTGAATTTACGCTGCAACACTATAGAACCCTAATGTACATGTACCTACAATGTACCTTAATAATAATCGATGTTGCGATTTGCTTTTACAGCGTTGCACAGATCTGATCCCACAAACAAGTCGCGTTAAAACTCGATGTGTCATTATCATACGTCGTTTTAATTTGCGACCGGACAAAGTTGTGTTGAAAGTAACCTTTCCCGTAGCTACGTAATAACCTGATGCGTTTTCTCATCTTCTCGAAGATGAAATTTCGAGCGCGAAACCTTGGTGGCAAATCTTATAACTCTGTGTCAAAAATGAGAAATTTCTTCCTGCATGAGGACTGCTATCCTCACAGTCTACATGTTAATGTTTTTAATGAGCCTATTTGAGTTGTTCAGAACACCTGCATTTATGCTTTGCTATGGAACGAAGTGATTTATAAAATCAATAAGAATGTGATTATAGCAGAAATTCACCTGGCCGTTTATGTTGGAAAGCTTTGCCTATACGTAACGGCCGTTCAGTTTTTTACCTGTGCATTCAGAACAAGTCACTGCACCTTGTCAATTTCGTGCACATCGATTTCCCAGAGGTTTCCCCTTTGCGAGACACTCAATATACGCTTACAGGAATGTCAATATTTTCATCAAAGAGGCGATATAACATTTGCATGCAATGAATAATTTGAAACGCTGTTTGTGGTCTGGCGTTGACTCTCCACAAGCAAATTCAAACAGTTCACGGTCCGCGAACGACGTATCGACCTCTCTCACCATTGCCCATCAGGAGGTCCAAGTTTGCAGAAATATCACCTTTAGTGTCGCATTCTACCTCAAACTGTACATCATTTTGCCCAGTTACATTTGAAGAGGGCTGCATCTTGGTAGTATTCTTTATTCATCTGATGCTTTGATATGTGGCCTTGTAATATTTTTCAACAATAAGTGGATTACCATTTTGCTTTCTTAGAAATGGCCCGCCAGAGTTTTACCCCCACTGGTAATCAAAATACGTTTGTGACGTAGAAACAGACTAGACCCTATATAAATTTTACTCTAAGATTACTCTGGACCATGTTCACCGTGGAAGAATGGGACTCGCTGCTTTGCCTACTGAATTCTGGCTCATGCAAAAGGTCACACGTTGAGTACACTTTTTGCATACACATAAAGATTCATAATTATAAAGATTAATTTTAATGCGAATTCAGAGAACCCTGCACAGCTGCGCCATGTACCAAGCAAGGACAAACACTAGACAAGACACGGGCGGGCATGTCTGAATAGACATAAGCCTCACCGGCCCAATGCAAAGGTTTTCTTCATGTAGACACATTCCTCGATTTATTTGGGAGTCACTAAAAAGTTGTATAGAAAACACAGATAATGGTAGTGCCACGTTCATGCAATGCACAGACCAGTTTCATTTGGTGACAGACGAGAATTAATGTTTTCGAGCATTCCATCTCTTACCTGATTAACCTATTCCAATAACTGCACATTTTATCATTTACATGTACGCTTAACTCCCGATGTCTGCTTGTACTGTACACATCTATTGGTTCATCTTCTATACTTTGTGACTGCCCATTAGACCGAGTCAATTTTGTATGGATTTACAGAATCAAATCATTATTTATCACAACAGATAAAGTCTGGTCGACATGTCCTTAGTGTTGCTATTTGTTAACTCATCAAAATCCACTAATCATTTTCGTATTAAATTATATCCGAAACTTGCAGCCCCTCCTTGGATTCTAAGGGGAAAAATCGTTGAAATTGCGAGGCACGTACTTCCATCAATCCACAAGTTGTTTGTTGTACCTTTTATGGTGCCCGTTCAGCCAATAAATTACGCCAAGTTTCCACGGCAACGGGCAATCCAAACACAATCGATGTCAAGCAGAAGGCATTTCTGTGCAGGCCGTGATCAAGACGGAGATACGTGTCTTGAAATCCGACCTTGTCTTTATCCGGATAAAAAATCCAGGCTACCTTTATATTCATCAAAGGAGGCCTACTTTTTCTCGTCAGTTTTGTCCGGATGCGTGGTTGCGAACCTGTGCAAACGCGTCGGTAAATGTTTCAACGGCACTGCACGTTTGGAAAACACTCAAATTGATACACACCAAAAATAGAAATTAAAGTTTGCTTGTGGCGTCTCAGTCATTTGAAAAAGGACTGGAATTCATTCATTGTGCGAATTACGGTATAAAGGTCTTGGTTGTGCTCCCAAAATGAGATAACTGTTCGATGTGATCAACGATGTTTCCATCTACAGCATTTTCAATTCCTTATGTGGAATCGGCATCAGTCATACTTTTCAAATCGCAGAACATGCTGTTTCAATTTACATTATATCTCCTTTGCATAATAAGAAAAAAGAACTAAAACACACACCTTAATGCTCAAAACGCAATAGTACGCTGATGTTTTGTTATTTTGATAGAACAAGTTAAAACAAGGTTACCACACGGGTAATTACAACAAATTTAAGGACATAAGCTGTAGTTTTTCGCCCAATCCAGTTCGTTAGTGTGTGACGTCACTTCAGTTTAAACCACACCCACTGCACACGTGCACTGCACATGGAGTTACATGCGTTGATTGTCGTTTACATGGGAGCCTGCAAATCGTGGCGCGTCTACCTTTATGACGAAGTCACTGACGAACCAGATAACTTGTCAAAACGCACACGCGCCTGTAGTTTACGAACGCGCGTGAGCTCAGTATCGCCACAGTACCAGAAATGAATTCCTCACACTGAGAAACTGTAACTCGCTTATTTCAAGAGTCGCAGACAACTCAAATTTAACGTCACTATATGGTATGCATGCGCTTTGCAGGCAGCATCATAAATTTATGAAAACGTTATCGTCAATTACATTTTACCTAATTAACATCGCTTCATGCATGGTCAGATTTCCCTACGGCATTTGAGTGCGTGGACCCACTGAAAATTAGTCCACGTTTGGTAAATGTGCATTTTTATGCTTCTCTGTCACAACTGAGGAGCTGATGGGGACACTATCGCTACATTTGAAGGTCGGGTCTTTGACTGCGATTGCCGGCGGGCTGATGACGTAAGCGGCATGGGGGGTTGTCATTGGTTCCTTCATGTCGACGTGATCACTGTCCAGCAATACAATGTTCTCCCTTATTCCTGACGACGAAGCGAGTTGGAAGTGTTCTTCCCGGACCACGTGAGCATGTACGGTCGCTTTGGTTGAAGTCTGGGGTAGGTTGGAGTTTTTCTCCACCCGTGTGCTGACCACGAGGTTCCTGTCCGACTGTCTCTTTCCGATGGTCCCCAGCACGGCCCGCGGGCACTCAGGCTCGTCCTGGCTCGGGGCGGACCGTGCCGCTCCCACCCGATGCCTGACCGCGCACCGCGCGAACCAACTGTTGGAAAAGGCACGCCGAAAATTCCGTCTCATGAAGACGTAGAGGATTGGATGCATTAACGTAGTGGTGTAGCCCAAAACAACCAACCATCGCTCTAGCATGTCTAAAGCTATCTCTCCAGAACTAGCGTACCCCCTCGCTACAATCACGATGCTGACTAGCGCATGAGGTCCCCAGCAGGTAATGAAAGTCAAGATAATAATTGTCGTCGTCCTAGAGACTCGCTTCTCTGGGTCTTTATTATTGATAGCGGCCGCAACAACCTTCCTGTCATTGTCTACTTTCATGCTAACCGTTGCTTTGACTAAGGCAGAGTGGATCGTCTTAACGCGTGTGATTCGGATGATCCCGTAATACGCGTAGATCATGACAAAGGTTGCAACAAAAAAGATGGGGATGTAGTACAACTCGTAGAAATGGTTGTCTCTGGAGCTGAAGAACCAGTAAAAACAGTGATGGCCCTCCGATTCGAACCTCTTCTGAACCCGGTCGAACTTTTCCAGATTTATTCCGAAAAGTGGAGAACAGAATCCTAAAAGTGATAGGAGCCAGGTGATAGGCAGGATCCAGCGGACGTTCCTCATGGTGAACTTCCTGACAAGAGGGTGGGAGATCTTGTCGTAGCGGTCGAGGGAGATGACGGCGACGTTGACCGCAGAGGCCACGCTGGCGAAGGAAACTGTGGCCTCGTGGAAGAAACAGAACAGCGGGATGCTCGGGTTGGACAGGACAGCCACAAGGGTGGCTGGAATGGAGACTAAGCAGATGATAATGTCCACCACATTCATGTTGATGATGAAGACATCACTGACAGATCGAATGAACTTTTTGTTGACGTGGTAACTGAAGAGAACAGCTAAGTTGCTCAAGACACCTGCCAGCATCTCTATCAAAAGAACAACCGAGAGGACGACGACGTAGGGGACAGGATACACGTAGGAGGAGGTGTTGGTAGTAGAGGCAGTGATGGGCATACCCATAATGCTGTCATTGGTGGCAGCAGTGGGATTCACCAGAGTGGTGGTAATGTTAATTAGTAATGAACTCATGGTCTCCACATTGTGTCCTTCTTTGAGCTTGACACGAATATCATTTTTAGGTCTTGGTCAAACCGTCTTCCATTGGAAAGTTACATACTTTAAAAGAGAGTGTTAGTGGACGTTCCTGACAACCATCTCTATAACGCTTAATGATCCACGCATAAGTCGCTACGCTTTAAGTCGCTAACGGAATTTGACTGGCTTACGTGGCGGTAGTCATTTCAAAGCTGCTTCTTTCAATGGCCAATTACAACCAGCCTCTGTAGACAGGCACTCCCAATCCGTCCATAGTCCTTCATGCCTGAATACGAGCAGATTCTGCGCAAGTCACGACTTATACGTTTAAAAATCTCAGAGAAGAGGGATGATGGCAGAATGAGCTGTTTTCTATCCGTTCTTTCCATCTGTAAACAGAGAAAGGAGGAAAAGTCAGCGTTATCTCAAAGGAATGTGAACGCAAAAAATGAATGGTGGATGTAGCGCTGTTCCGCAGTTACACTATAGGCTTGTCTAACGCAGTCTCTGCGACTTTCTGTCCGAGGCTACGCACGAAGACCACAGTACTGGCAGGGCTTATTACCCTCGTATGGTAACACGGCTAACCACAAAATAAGGTTATTAATCCGAGCACACTAAGCCACTGTCATGCAGTATACACATCAACTACCGAACTGCCATGCGTACACGTACGTACGTGTCCGTGCCACTCGCCTGCCGTCTCGTCAGTGGTCTGTCTCCCCCCCCCCCGCCCCAAGATAACCATCTCCGACAAGGTGAGTTCTGCTCCAAGCTCTTCTGTACAGTTCAGTCCTGTACGTGTTTTCAAAATGAGTGACGCACTTGGCAAGGAGAAGCCCCTTTTACTCTCTCGAGTCACGTTCAGGCATTTTGCAGGAGTGAAAGCTGACAAGTCACTGGAAAAACACGCATCTCAGCAAATTAGTCCAGAAAAAAATAACAACGTGGTTGAAAGTTCGGACATTCCGTGCGGATCCTAAGCTAATAGAATATCTTGTTTCCAATAACGCAAATGAGCCCCTACCTTAATTCAGACAGACATCCTGTGATCTATGCTCCCTTTTTCTGATAACATGGGTATTTTCATTCGGTCGTTATACAGGAAATGAAACAATTTTGTCGTGCATAATACTAATAGTTGGTGGTACACCAAGGTAACAAATGGCTCACGGCGTTGACTCAGCCGTTGCGGGATCTTTGTTTATTCAGGGTACGTGTAAACAAAAACGTGTGCTTGCTAGATGCAAATTAGGTAAATTAGCACCTTATTTACCGGAAGCAGAATGTCACCCCATGCTTCCTTTGGGGACACCTGCCAAACTGAAAACGGTCAGCGGAGCAAATTGTCAAACTAACAGCAATGAACTTTGTGGTTGAACAGCCACCTTGCTCTTCTGAAATTTCATCAACTGCTGATATGATCCTCGAGGACAACGGAAATTCATCTTGATATCAATCTTCATTAACTTTTTGTCAGAAATATTTAAAAATAGCCCGGTCGAAGACTCGTGGCGACACTCTCGAGGTAGTATTACCGACCCCGTGCCCTGGCTCATCCAGGGTACGGGATCGGCAGTGCGGTTGTGCACAGAATAAGAAGATCACAGAATTTATCAGATATTTTGTCCGACCGTTGACGGCAGAAAGTGGGCGGGGACTGACGTGACGACGAAGATGAACCTAACATAATTGGCACACTCTGCCCTTGGGCAATCGAGAATTGAACGGCCAAAATGCAATTTCGCAGAGGATGCAGGACTGCGAAATCGACACAGAGGGGGTCCAACAGTAATAAATTGGAGGAGTCATCCTATTCGAGGCAAGGTCGATGCGAAAGGTGAAGAGAAATCGGCAGCTTCAGTTATGCTAAAGAAAAATTGATAAAAACATAGGCTCTATGAAAGTGCATCATTGTCGACAACCTTCGCCGTCCAATGCACAATCCAACATGCCAGAAAATTTGCAAACAGTAATGACCAGGACTTTGCTACAGATCGACGGTCATGCTGCTGGCGAGCCTTGATATGAACAGCACGAGTCTTTACTTCCTTTAATTCCCTTTTTATTGAACGTGAAAAAGTCACCATGGTTATACCATATATCGTCGTTCAGTTCATTAGATTTCACTGGCGACTGTGACCACCGCATCGTCATGGCAACTGAGCGTACAATGGTCCCACTGGCGATATCGTTTATTGTCAGCCTCATTTCACAAATCGAAAGTGGATCGGAAGGAGTTTTTCCGAACAGAAAAACGGATTGCATATACACTGTAGACCCCTCGAGAACTATATTTCTGCAGGTGCAATATTGATGAAGCACGGCTGACCGACCGCCATATGGCAAACAAGAAGGAACTCGAAGCTCATTCTAAACGGCGCATTCTCGTTTACAAGGGCAGAACACATAAAATTTGGCTTGTTATTTAAATCAATGTTCATTTATAATGACCATTAATATTATATTATAATTGTAATATACGAGATTAATATGTTTATTCAAATAACTCCCACACGATTTCTATCTTTATTTTCAACAATGAAAGGAAAATACTTAACACTCATACAAAATCAAATTAGTTTTAAAAGGAAAAGAACAAGTATTCTTACATCTCTTTTGAAAATTAAAGCTCTTTTTAAAATTTAAGAGCCTTTTATATCATATCTGAAGGCTTTAGTTTCCTCAATTCTTGTGTATAAGAAAGAATGAATAATTGATATCTCTGCGGTTTACCGTTAACCTGCATTCATTCCATTTCCAGAGGCGCGCGACCAATTCAAAACTGGAACTTCTACAAATGCACGATTTATGCATTTAACTGCATGATTTCCACAGATTTAATGATTACCCAACCCAACGAAGAAGCGTTGTCCGTCGTACTGGTCGACTTTTGTACGCGTTATCTCCGAGAACTGTTGCTCCTTGCGGATTCAGTCCCGCAAGGAAAAAAAAAATTTAAATTAGGTTGCGCTCATTCTCCGCGACCGAAACGACTTCGACTCATTATAAACAACTGAAAAGCATGGCGGGAAATGGGACACTGAACTGCGACGTTCAAAATTATCCAGTTGATTTCTTTTGCTTTTAATTTACCCCAAACTTGCATTTTTGTCAACGGCACATAATTATTATGCTGACTCGCCAGAAATTGGAAATGCTGCAAATATGTTAACATCTGAGGTACAATATTGAAGACACAATTTGGCACGAAAGCAGCCGACCAATCGCCGTAAATGTACAATTCGCAGGAAATCTAACTGGTGTTGGAGCGGTGATACCTCCCGATGAACTAAATGAAAGCCTTGGGTTACAAGAGCGCAGATATTTTGAATTGTTGTGCGTTTGCAGAATTAACATAATGAAATAAGATAAAACGAATTCCGAATAATGTACACTATGCAGCAGGCGAGCAAGCACAACATTTGTGAATGACGTTTTGGCCATTTTAAGCACAGTTTTTGTAGTTTGGGTCTTTATAAATCCTCGGAAAATCTGCAGCCCATGTCTATTATGCCACGCATTGGCATTGTTTACACTCAGCAAAACGAAGCGCTCATTTTACTACTATTATGAATTCAAGGTTTTGGCGTATTGGCTTTGTTGGCACCTCTATTCGAAAACTGACTTTGATATGCATAAAACCGTTCTAAATTTCGAGTTTTCCATAAGTTTATTGTTCGTTTAAGTTCCATAAGTTTAAGTTGGCCCCAAACCTGGGGCCAATTTAAGCAAATTTTGTGCTTAAACAGCTCTATGAAATTGGCCCCAGGAAGCACCCATTGATCTCCATTGACTTTAACTGGAGATCAGTGGAATCATCCAGCACACTTCACTTTGCATAGCGAATACCACGCCCACACGCAAAAGGAATGCAACACGCGCGTACCTGACACACAGGTGCTTCAAATACGCGCGCGTTACATTCCTCTTGGACCAATAAGGACGTGCCAGAAACAAGCACCGCAAGTTGAGAATACTGTGTGTGTGTGCTGTGCACCGATCTCCTGAAAACCAATGGTGTGGGTTCAAGGATTTTGTGAGTGGATAACTTCAAAAACAAGGTAAAGGTTTTTAGCTCCTTTTGTCGTGGTGTTGTATTTCTATCTTGCATAATAGGCAATCAGTTCTTAACCGAAGAGCAAGACTGTTATAATTTCTCCAGTTTTCCGAGAGAACACGTTCACTTTCTTAGAATATTCGAAACGTCTTCGGGCAATCAACTGTGAAAGTCAAGCACGTTCCGGCCATGCGTAGCGAACATCGGCAATGCCCCGCTAACCTGCTCATTGGACGGTTAAGATTAATGGAAATCAATGGTGACGACACACTGTCAATTTTCATGACCAGATCAGGTTTCATTTCACCAGTTATATCACGCTACTCGTTGCCATTGCTGTGACCGCCGCAAAACACTTCAACAGTGACTTTGACAGCTGTCAAACAGAAAATTAATCCCGAAATATAATGGGAAAATGTTTTGAGGGAAACCGGATAGATGGAAACTAATGACCAGTTCGAATTTCATGCAACTGATTTGTTTTCGTAATCGCAGCAGGTTTGTCTTAAGTGATAGGTATCAAGTACTTCTTGAAACTGAATTCGTATGAAATCAACACAAATCGATTCAACTCCACATTGTAAAAGCTGCAAAGTCCATGTGGCGCGAATAATGACTATAGTATTACAGTCTGTCTCGTGTACGTCTAGTCTATGGGCTTAGCCAACAGGACAAAACGGTCACTTATTTTTCTTCCACGTCTTTCGCGTTAAGGGACATTCAAATCCCTTCAGAAAGGAGAACACTGACTCTCACAACAAAATAGCAATGTGGAGAAAAATCACCGATTTGAATTTGTAGCCCTTGCTTCTAAGTGCTGCATTTTGTTCCCCTCCAAACAAGAACCTTAACGCTTTCCCCCAAATGTTGGCGCATAAACTACCTCTGCCGCTAATGAACATTGATTTTTCGTCTGATGAGTGGCTCATTAACGGGCCTTTCTCGTTGGCGTCTTCGTTTTGGTTTCACCTTTGACCAAGAAAAAGACAGTGTACGGGCTTAGCGTTGGGCAGCTGTTAATTAACTCCAGAGGGGGTGTAAATCAATATACGAATACCGGTGACATTCAGGCGTCTGCAATGTAGGGGGGAAATCCTCTAACAATTTTCCCTCAACGTTTGACTGATAATATGATATATAGCAAATAATCTTTATAATTTCTTTTCTTCCACTTCCACCGATTAAGAACGTGCTTCAAAGGAAAGTTTGTGCAACAAATTTTTAATACGAATTCAAAACTGTCATTTGCTGCCAAAATTCTTGAAATTAAGACTTTCTCAAAGGTTTATTACGCCAACTTCTCCAAAAAGTTGAGAGAAAATAGGGTAC